ACAGGTTAGCTAGCATCATGTTGATCTGAGGGAAGAACGAACAATAACATCCATTAAACACAAGTCTATAGATAAGATAAACGTCTCTAATGCAAAATGATAAGTAGTAGACGTTTCCCCTTGTGATCGTGACAGTATTGCAGATCAGTTCAGAAAATGAAACATGGAGAGTTTTGCCCCTAAAAACAGTATTTCTGAAGTAAAACCATCTGCAGTCTTTTTACTTTTACAGTTAAACCCCAGCTGTGTATTTAAGATGTACTTTATTGATCCTAAAAAGGGGATTTTGTTTCCGTTGCAGCAGCATTAAAAAACAAGGCATTGCACATAACTAGAAATTAAAAGAGTAGAAATAAACAATTCTAAAATAGAAGCATCTCAAAATAGAAATATACCGGCATTATAGAGTAGGAAATATGAAATGTAAAAAATGTGTTAAACACTATTTAAGCGCCAATTTTCCATAACAGTAACACAATATAAAGCCGGATATTATTTACATTAAGTGTGCGAGGAATGGAATATTAAAATGAATATAAATATACAGTGTGAATTGGACATTCCAATAGGTCCGTCACAATATCAGATTATCAGATCCTGATAACGATACTATCTCAATAATAATAACAGTTCAATTCTAAAATAAATATTGCTATGAGTTAGATCAATCTTAAACTCTGATATTATTAAGAGTTTTGTATCTTCTATGCAGGGAGGAGGAATGAGTCTGTGACCAGATGGCTGTATTATAACATAAAGCATGAACAATATGTTTAGCTTATATGTGTTCTGTATTCCAACCCAGTCTCACGGCATTTCGTGTTATAGTCACGACATTAATCTATTGATTAATTTCACCAACACCATTTCCCCCATTTTCTTTGTGTCACACAGAACGATTTTAAAAGCAATATAAAGAATAACAAATTTGAAGGAAAAAGAGATTTTAAAAAATACAGATTTCAGTATCCTGAGGCTCTGAGCCATTTCTTTTCCTCGCGGACGGCAAAAAAAGTCCGACATTATAAGATTTAAAATAGAGTAAGAACATGTTTATTATAAAAAAATGCACAGAAAGCATGAAAACATTTTTGCTTTCTGCATTTTGTATATTTTGTAAGTAATTGCTGTCGTCTCATTTTTCTTTTTCTTATGTATTTTTAGAAACATGTTGTGCTTTTGGTTGTACATGTTGTGCTTTTGGTTGTACATGTTGTGCTTTTGGTTGTACATGTTGTGCTTTTGGTTGTACATGTTGTGCTTTTGGTTGTACATGTTGTGTATTAATCTCAACAAAAAAAAGAAAGCATGAAAAATATCGGTTTATCACAATAGCTACGGGAGGGTAACCTGCCTTTGGGGTCCTCTGTCTGGATGCGATCCCATCGAGAACTGCAATAGCATCTTTATCCAGTTTCAATATGGTGTAGCACTCGGCGATCTTATACTTTACTTCAATCTCTGAGGGCAAACTCTGAAAGACAACATTATGAGTCATTTTAATAATCATTCATGCAAACTGAACTAGTCGATGGTATGGGTGTTTGTCTTTCAAGGTACAAAACATTGAGTGATAGGAATATACATGCAATTGATGTGTAGGAAATCTGGTTAAAACCACATTGAATGATGTTATGGCTTCATTCAAAACATTGAACAATGAACAGTGCTATCCGACATACCTGTGCCTGTAAATTAGACGCAGCTCCACCAGTAGAAGTACGAACTTTAGACGTTTTGCTGATCACCTTCTTCTGCTGTAGAGCCATACTGTATTTGCAGGCAGCATTACGATACTCCTTATCATGGAAGATGCTGTCAGCGTGGTAAACCAACAACTGGTACTTCTGGGCCGGTGAGAGCAGCTCTCTTTGATAAAAAGACACAAATGGTAAATTCATTAGAATCAGAAACACTTTTGATTGCATGGGTGAAGTGGGTTATGTTAGCTGCTCCATCTTAGAGTCAAATATACAGAAAACAGAGAAGTTATAAGACGATTTAAATAAAGTCATCGATTAAAAGCAACAAATAAATGGGTGCATTTACTACAATGAAGCAGCAATCAATCACAACAATACATATGGAAACAATGAATGTTTGATACTGTGTATACTAACATATAACAATAGTGTAAATAATATAAATGTATGTACGTTTAAAATGCAGGAAAAGTATCACAATATTTCTTAAAAAGCTAAAACAATATAGAGTTGGAATGCAAGAGAATTAACATTAAAACATGTCTCAATGTGTTAGTAGAAATGCTTAGAGAAACAGACTGTCATTGAGTGACATAAATATAGAAGAGACCGTAACAAAAAGTGGACAGTGAGATGATACATTAGTCTAAAGCACAAGAGTGTAGAAAGTAAACAAACAATGGCATTAGTTTGTGTTTTTATAGAAGCATCCTTCATCAGCTGTTGGGCTTCATCACAACAAAAACATGGCTCTGTGACTTTGATAGCCCCTGATTTTAAATCAACCCCACTGCATTGTTAACATTGTGAAAGGCTATTTAACAACAATATATATGTGAAAAGTCATACAATACTCGTTAAACAGCTGACTGTCAACTCCTTCCAGCTAACTGTTAATAGCACGTACCTTCATATGACTACTTCCTGGATAAACAAACGTACACTATATTACACCCAATAATACACATTTCACTGTTAAAGATGTAGTTACTTGAGAAGCATTTCTAGCAGGGGTCAGAGTGCATTATTCAAAACGCTGATCTGATCAACTACTAAAGAAATAAATGATATCAATAGTTGATCAGTTAGCTTTTCGCTATCACTGTCTCCAGGAAATAGACGGATCCTCACGTTGGCTTTTACTTACGGGTTGTTATTACTCATCGTCAACAGCAAACTGCTCAATATCCGGACGTTAGAGTGAAGGCCAGCTGCGGCCATTTCCCGGATATTATCTATAACATTCATCTTTAATGTAGTTTAAGGCTTGCTTTGTGTTTCCGTCTCTCAGGTGAAAGTTTGTAAACAGCTAATGCTAACAGCTAGCGTCTGGTGTATCAAATATGGCGCCGTGACAACGTTCCTTCCGCATAATGCTGCCTTTAAGTGCTCTTTGCAAGCTTGTGATTTCAACCACTATAGTATTAAATATGATTAACCTCATGATATATGCGTCTTTGGTAAACACATTACGTTTTAAATGACCTTGTTTTAAATTTAGAAAGAAAAAGCGACAAATGTATGCCACTTTTTTATTCGCCTCCTAAATCTATAAAGTTGGGACGCTTGTGTTTGTATATGCCATCATGTATCCGATAGTTATGAACGCCTCTTGTGAATACTCAGCAGCAATCAAAACGTCTTTTTAACTTGTTTTGTATTTATAAAAGCGTCAGCTAAATGTAATGATTTAGTTAATGACTGTATAATTAGTTGTTGTTTACCCTTCATGAGTTTATGAATATTATTTATGAATATAGAAATTCCCTCCTAGCAAAACTCTCCATAGGAAATGAAATAAATATCCTTTGGCCAATTCATAATGTAAAAATGCTTTTCTTGATTATAATTGTATTTTATAATTTTAATAATTTTTGTATTTAATTGTAATATTTTGACTTATGTTATTTTAGTATTTAAATATAATTTTATTTTTTTATTATACTATTTTAATTATTTTTTAGTAATACTTTTATTCTGCATGCAATGTATAATGTGTGTGGTTATGTTAATGTCAGTAGGGGTCTTGTTGTTTGTATAAGAAAAGCTGCACATTTCCTCTTTGGGATTAATAAAGGAATTGTGATTCTGCTTCTATCTCTGTTTAAAACACATAATCACTGATCTCTAGCTGTGTCCCAGTTCAATACAAACTAGTTCAAATCTGAATAAGTGGTTGAATGCTGGTCCTTTTTTCCAGTTTCAGACAGTTTTCTGAACTAATCTAGCAATTTGTCAACATCAGCGCTCTGGGAAATTGAGATTCTTAACTTTTTTCATTGATCAATTCAGGAAAAAAGTATTAACTATCATATTTCGTAAGTAGGTCATTTTTCTAATTAGGAAAACACTTATTTTTTCTTTCGATTAGCAGTTTTGTATGACTTGATTATAAAAATGCAGAAGTAAAACATAAATCCACACAGTGTACAAATACAATTTCCATTTTATTTGCAATTTAAAATGTCATACAAGATAAAAGTAGATAATTCAATCTGCCTGAACATTGTTTGTATATGACCCAAATAAAGGCATTAAAATCCATCGTTGATATATGATGCACCGACATGACAATATCTTAACAGATTACAAAATGAAAAAAGGTGTTTTTAAAAGGGCATGAACACAAACTGTGAAGATTTGACACAAAATAAAAAGGAATTTCTAAACAGGAGCTACAACGAACAGGTTTGTAATCTACACATGGAAATGCTTTTTAACTGTAGAAAGAACAAATACCGTAAAAGATACCTTCTGAAATACACATACTGACTTGGAAAAGGCCATCTATGATACCTCAACAAACTATAGCCCAATTGATATTTCCGTGATAATAACCGTGGATAAAAGGGGACTTTCACTTAGAGGAATTGTAAACTTGATCAACACTGATCAAACCTTAACTGCAGCAGTTCCCACAATGACCATTGTCCACCTTTAGGTTCTAATTTGTGAGCCAAAGAGCTACCAACATAAAAATCACAACATTCATCACAACATTCGTGTTTGTGCTGAATGCTCTAAAGCTCAGCAGACAGAGGAGGAACGCTAATCTATTTTGAGATTTTATTTCAGTTTAATGATGCTTCACAACTTAAACAAAAGTTTTATGAGGTATCAAAGGGGAAATCATAATAACGTTTAAAGAATCAATCATACATTGGGCATTTCATAATGTGTGTCAGCATTGGACAACAGAAAAAGAAGAAAATCAATCTACCAACTCTCTAAAAACCAATGAAATGGGTGGCCACCCAAAACACCTGCATGCAAACACACCTCACATATCAGCAGTATCCGGAAAGGTTTCACCAGTTTTCCTGTTTGTCTGGGATATTCTGTAGGACACACAGAGAGAGACAGCATTTCCCTGATAAGAAGAGACATCTGGGTCAGTATCAAGGTATACATCAGAGAGACGCTGAGGGGAGGGGGGACTCGTAGGACTGGGTATGAGTCTAGGTGGGCACAGTGATGCTGCAGGCTAGTAGCTCCAGCAGAGCGAGCTCCACGAGCCACTGGGCTTGTTCCAGCGCCTCTGCGGCCGCCCGGGCAGAAAACCCTGCTGCCTGGATCCTCTGGATGTGTTCAGATGGAAATTGTTCTCTTAAAAGGATGTGGAGAAGGGACAGGAGGGGCCGGAGATGTCAGCTGGGGGGCAAGAGGAGGGGAGGAGAGGGTTGAGGTGCTTGAGACTTCCTCAGGTGAGCCCACTGCCATGGACAGAGGGCTGAGGAAAGTGTGCTCAGTCTGGAGGCCGAGAGAGTCTGGGGTGTTGGTGCCAGAGGCCCGTCCGTCTGCGACCCCCCTCCCTGCTATCTATTCAGAGCTTGGGCTTAATGTCTTCTTCAGATTTGACCTTTTCATGCACTGTGACGTGGCAGAGAGAGACGTGAGGAACTTCCAGGAGACGTGGAGTGTACCAGTGCTGCGTGTGGGGGGGGGGGGGGGGGGGGGGGGGGGCAGTGACGGACTGGGGGATGTGGCCTCTCTCCTCAACTGCCTGGCGGAGCACCTGTGGCATCAGGACTGTATCAGCCAGACGCCATTCACAGCAGGAGACAGGGACTGTACTTTAGATGTTTTAGTAGGCAGTTGAGGTGACCTGCACTCGAGGTGAGGTCACTGTGTATTGACAGCTGATCTGGGAGAGCTTCAGATCCCCCGGGATGAGATGAAGGAGACTTATTTGGGGGTGATTTAATTATTTTATATAAATTCTATTATCACTGCAATACATTTTATTTGTACTCACCCTTATGTCAGCAGGAAGTTGTATCAATATCGTGAGACCAGATTAGGCTTATCTAATTTCTCTATTATGTGCCTCGTTGTCTCGTCTGTTCTCCTGCCTGTGAACATTGCACGCCATGTTAAAGGATGATGAGCGAGGATGCACAGGCATGCCAATGTACTGATACAGCTTTTCAATTTTTTATTAATATGACAACGTGAATCACGTCTCATGTTTTATGCCTGTTGCCTCTACTCCTCGCACCTTCCATCTCCATCACTCAAGTTTCAGGTCGGAGGAACAGAAGGAGAATGTTTAAACTGAGAATAGATTGTCTGATATGGTTACATTAACCTGCAGACGTGTCTATTATTTTGTGTTCTTCGTGTCACTGGATGCCTGTTTGAGCACATACAGTTCTCAATTAAGTATTATAGCTCGTTTTTCTTTGTTACCGATGATATTACAGATTTCCTTTATACATGTACTCAAACACCTACACTGAGTCAAAATAATGTCTGCTTGGTATTGGGTTAAATGTTTTATCAATATTTCACAGTGAGAAGATCAGTGGCCATTTTTTCCTCAGACTCTATTCTTACCTTCTTTATTCATTTGAAGTGTTTGTCAGAATAGGGATAAACTTGTTTATAATGAAGTGAAAGACAAATTGATTAAAAGTTTCCAGCATTTTAATACAAGTGAATAAATACATTCTCAAGAAGTAATACAAAGTTTCCCTTTACTCGCCTCGTGTCAAATTGTGAAAAACAAGTGCACGTTTAAATCCTTGTGCCATATGCTGCCCTTATTAAGATCATAAAAAGGTGCAGTTAAGTGGAAGATACATCTAAAAAGTCATACAATAATTGTTATTATCAAATGTTTATATATTAGAAATGTGCAATTTTAAAAACAACCACAAATCGAAGTTTAAAATGAGTTTGCAGAGTCATGAATCCTCTACCGTTTACACTGCAGCAACTTCATCCACACCTCTGTATCCGACCTGCAATCAAATCATAAAAAGCCAATAAATTAAAGGATATTTATTAGTATTAAAAGACCTATACAAAATGTCCACGTGTACCTTGTTTCTGCAGCAAGTTTCATAGTGGTGGGTCGTCCGGTGTGACTTTTATAGAGATGCAACAGGAAGGAGTCTGGGGGCGGACCCAGGAGCTCAGTCTGAACATGCTTCACTTTCACATGGCTGGGGAATACAGCATGATCCACAACTGTGAACCCCGCGGGTTGGAACCAATACTTCTTTGACGAGATGACCAAAAGGTCATTGAAGAGGTGGAGGTATACACTTGAGAAGCAACTGTGTCTCATGGGACCCTGGTGCAGCAGCACACGCCCGCTTACAACCAGAGGGACAGACTGCAACGAGGAAGAGACATTCAGTCAGATTTTATAAAAGACTTGAACCTGTTTTTTGTAACCTGTGTTAAGAAACTCGACACCTTCATTTTGCCAAAATCCAGCAGCCTGTCCAGATAAACCAGCTCCTCAATGTGTTCCATTTTTCGGACCCCCTTATCACACTTTGTTACAATCTGTGGGTCAGAGAAGATGCATAACATTTCAAATGCCTTGAGTCCATTTGCTAATCACATGCCTCCGGGTGCTCACAGACCCTGTCAAACTCTTACCTCGTGGACGGCTGCCATTGCTTTTTCCAGATTGGATTTAGAGTCAGCGTCTGGTTTGGTCTGTTTCAGGATGCTCTGAAATGAAAGACAACCCAACACAAACCTTAGAAGAGGTCTGAAACACATTGTACTGGTTAAATATATATGCAATCAAACTATCATGAGACACTAACCTGAAGGAGGAGTTTAATACGTGTAATTCTTTGGAAAGGAAGTACAAGGAATGACCTCAGGTTCTGTCTTTGACAGTCTGTGTGACTCTCAATGTTCTCGATTAAATGCAGAACTTCTCTGTTCTGCTGCCTTGGAAATGGAAGAGATTGAATGTAAAGTTATTGGTGTTGTGGAGCGCCAGCAGTAATGTCATGTACAGAGACTTACATCAGCTGGTTGACCATGGTCTCCTGGTACCTCATGTTGATCACATACGGCACGTAGACCCTGTGAAACTCAGGGCAGTGCTGCAGCACAATGTCTTCCACCTGAGAAATCAACACACTCTCCTCCAGTTGGCCTTCCAGATCCATTAGGAACCTATAAGGGACAAACTCTAATTTAGCAGACGTAAACACTTAAGAAATAAGATGTAGTGATATGTGGAGTTCTCACTTTTTACTGACTGCCATTATTTGACAAATGTTGGAAAACAAATGGTGATGCTCCATTGGAGTCAGGGACTGTTTCAGTTCCTTCGAAGCATAGAAGTGTTTGACAGCAACAGTAAGGCTGTTTAGGTAAGACACTTCAGAGCCGATCAACTCAAACATCAACTTCAGAGGGAGAAAAAGAGAATTCATTATGTATACATTTGTGACAATTCATTTCTCTGCAAAAGTAGGAGGATATTTTGGTTTCTTATTGTCAGCAAAACTAATAAACCGCACTAATACATTTGCATAGTTTCACAGCTAAAATAATTCCCTGGAAAATAGTATATTTAATCCCGTTTTGGGAACATTTCCAATAAAGTAAGTGTCCGGCTGTTCATGAAGTTACTGAGCCTTTAACAATAATCTGTGAGCTGCTTCTGAGGAGGATTGGATGCAGAAGGTTCCACTCACCTCCTGAAGTTTGAGCTCTTCTTCTGACAACCTTGTGAGCAGGCCAGACGCCTTCACCTCCTCTAGATCTCGCCAAAGGGTCGAAAGCCTGACTGGGGGAGCCTCAGCCAAGCATATATCCGCAGCATTGGATAGTTGTTGAAAGCTTGTATAATTAACGCTGCTGCAGTAGGCAATAATAGGAGTCTCTAGCTCCTGGGGGATTGTCAGTGCGCTCAAAAAACCTGTGTTCCGTTTGTTCAAATCATCGCTCTCCGCCTGCACACAGTATTCCTGGTAGTCCTGGTACAGAGGGTCTTCAGAGCAAACAAGGAGATGAAGGAAAGTCACATGACATGGCTGTAGGTTACACTATTCAACCACTCAATAGCGCAGAGAAAGATACACTTACATAAATTGAAGTACTTTGACTGGAAGGACACGCACAGCTCTTCCTCCTCAGCTGTATCTACTGCCCTGCGTTTAATAAGCAGTTCACAGTAAGTTAAAAGTAAACGTTTAAAATGTTATTAATACAGACAATTCTGGATTGTCCTCCTCTAGCTAGTTTGCTGAATAAAAGGTTGGGCTACTAGGTTTCAAACCCCAAGTTAAAGACACGTCTATGGGAGGGATCTAAAAGGACAACGATATTTCATCGTCACAATCCTACAAATAAAGTTAACTTAGTTTTCGAAGTGCACCATGCGGTCCTTACCTTGAATCCTGAAGGTCTTCCAGGGAGTCACTGCTCCCATCATGGCCTCCAATGTCTTCAGTTGTGCTGTCACATGGATCCATAGCGCCTCAGTCTCTCACACAGACTCTTTATTTTTAAAACTCTGACAACGGTGCAAATGTGGATGTGTTTGTCTACTGAGGGATCCTTTATTTGACCCAGAGACACTCAGGTTGAGTGAGCGCAGGCTGATGCAGTCTGAACTGAGCAGCAATCACAATAACTGGAACCAGCTGTGTGTTTCTTTTCAAGCCTCTGGTGATCAACAGTGAACTGCCGCCGCGCATGCGCAGGGCTACATCCAGCAGCTTGTGTCAAAACACAGAGAAACCAGCAGCGCTAAATCCACAGCTTTATCTCTATTATTTGGAAAGTATTTGTCAACACAAAGTCATTTACATCTAAGTCAGCGTACCATGACCGAACAATCAGCATTACTTCTCCGAAAACAACTGGCAGGTAGGTGAATATGAGTTAAATATTGTAAGGGAATACAGCCGTTATAAAGGCTAACCATCTAGTAGCTAACGTTAGCTTCTGTTTTTAGCTGTGTTTACGCCATAGGAGTTGGCTCAGGAAGCTAATGTAACGGGTCTCTTTATCACCGCAGATCAATACGTGGCTAGGCTGCTTTTATTAGCTAACATTATAAGACGGATTCACTAGTTAATGTGGCTTAATTAAACACATATCTGAAAATATGCCGGCCATGCTAGCTGGTTAGCAAGTTGGACATTAGTTAGCGGACGGAACAAAGGAATAATCAATCCGAAGACTCATCTGCTCTGATGACGTCAGAACTGCTAATGATGGATGTTTATATTCTGAGATTTACATAAAACTATAAGCTACTGTATTAGTAGAGGTGGAGAAGTACTCAGACCTGGTACTTGAGTAGAAGTACCAGAGTGTACAAGTACAAGTCCTGCAATCAAGTACACAACTATTATCATCAAAATATAGTACCGACAGTAAAAGTAGTCGTTGTGCAGATTGGTCCATTTCAGAATAATATATATGATATGTTTTATAATGATTGATCATGAAAGTGTTCTCAAAGCTGGTGAAGGTGCAGCTAGTTTGAATGACTTTGTATACTGCAGGGTAGCTGGTGGATTTACTCCAGGTGGAACTAAAGTCTGATTCAACACTTGATTAGATTTCACATCATTCATCCACATCTGTAAAGTAACTAAAGGTATTAAATACATGCAGTTGAGTAGAAGTACGAAGTAGCATACAATGGAAATACTCAAGTAAAGTACAAGTATCTCAAGTAAATGTACTTTACACCACTGTTATTAGTAATGGTTGAAGAAGTACTCAGATCCTTTACTAAAGTAAAATACACATGTTTATGCTCTTAAAATACTCTGCTACAAGTAAACGTCCTGAAAAAGCAAGATGTTTCATGAGTAAAAGTAGAAAAGTATTGGCATCAAAATATACTTGTAGTACAAAAAGTAAAAGTACTTATTCTGCACAAAAGCACATTTCAGAAATACATAAAGTTCAGAAGAAGTATTATTCATTCCAGTTGATTTTCATCCCAAAATCCTGTTTTTAGAATCTCAAATATAGAGATTTCATGCTTTTATCTTTCTTTTAATAACAAAAGACTACATGATGAATCTAGAACATAATCAACAGATTTATAATGTATAATAAGTGTAATCTGTAGTTGAGCTGCATTCCTAATTATCAACATCCCAGACGTTGTATCAAGACTTATTATTTCCCTTTATACACTGAAGTCAAATTGACCTACAGATTAAGTTACACTGACAACAGGAGTCCAGTCTAAAGGTGTGACTCTGAATGACGACAGAACATCTTCCTTTTCTCTGACTGAGTTATTTTGGGTTCTTCTGTGTGGGTTTGTGAATCACTGGCTTTACAGTGTTTGACTCAATTCAGTTTTTCAAGTTGATGATTCGCTGTTGATTATGATTGGAAACCACGATTTGATTCAGTCAGCCTTAGTCAAACTTTATTGAACTTTCAATAATGTGAGACAGCGTTTCCGCCAGGGGGCGTCTTGCCGTCATTTGACTCGAGCCGAGGGCGTCCAAAAAAATTAATAATTCGAGACAAGATTGAGTTTTTATCGCTTGAAATTACGAAAGGGACAGGCGATGAGCGGAGCGGGTGGGGGGGGGTGGGGGATTCCACCGTCTGCGTCGTGTTACGGCTGCGCGGCGGTGTTGGTCCGGCCTCCTCCGGCGTCATACCCTACCGGGCGCGTTTCAAGAGCATTTCAGAAGCGGAGCGTCTTGCCTGCCGGCTCGCAGTTTCAGTTGATTTGAGCATATTTCCTGGACAGGCTACTTTGTACAAACAAAGTTAATAATAATTGTAATATTCCAGTTATAAACGACATGAATCAAAGATGTGTTGCTGTATTTTAGTTAGTGGTGCACGATAATTATCGGTCCGATATTAGGAATGATGACGTCATCCCGATAAACCCGATAAAAGTATTAATAGCCCCGATAATATACAATATATTTTTTGGGTAAGAAAGAAATACTGCGGTGTGGGTGGATTGGGATGAGGGCCGCTTGTTTTTCACTCGGCTCCTCCCGTTTTGCCAGTACTGTGGTATTAGTGGTTTAGGAAGAGGGGAGTTTTTCACAAATCCAGCGCTCCCTAACTCATGCCTGGCTGTGGCGTAAATGGTGTGCGGCCGTGAAGCCAGGACAGTAAACAAACATGTCGTCGGTGGTATGGGACTATTTCAAAGTTTCAGAGTTAGATAGTTCGCTTGCTATTTGTATTAACAAATGCAGAAGTTCCACGAGGAGGGAGAAAGGCAACGAGCTATAATACTTCCAACCTGATTAGTCGCCTGAAACATCGCCATCGCTACGATGGTGTGTTAAAAGCGTACGAAGACGCCTGCGCTGCTAAACTAGCGGCGAATCCAAAGCCAGCTGCAAAGGCACCGGGGCTTTTACCTATCGACGAGGCTTTTGAAAAAGGCAAGAACTTTATTTGGGAAAATAAATATGGTCACTTTGAAGAGTCAAAACTGTTCTTGGCTTTGTTTTGTTCATAGTAGTAATGCTCATGTCATTTGCTCACTACTAGTCTTTGTTTTACCACCAGGTGTGCAAAAACTACAGGTACATTTAATATATATTATATTATTATCGGTTATCGGTATCGGTCTTGAGAAGCAGGAAGTTATCGGTATCGGTTTCAAAAAACCAATATCGTGCATCCCTAATTTTAGTGGTAAAAAAATGCATTCATCATCATAATTATTCTATATAATTTACACAGTGCCTGTAAACCGGAGGGGAACGCTGGCATTTCTCCTCCTACTTGAAAGACTACGGAGAGATAGGGTCTGCAAAATTAGTTTATTGTGGGGATGGGTCGAATGCTCTGACCGGTCCACTTCCTGCCCGGCGCCTCTGCAACGCCTCGCGTTGAAAAATAGACTTGAATCCTATTTTGAGCGGAGCCCAGCGCAGAGACGCTTCTGGGACGCTTCTGAGCCGTAACGCGGCGCATCTAGTGGAATAGCACCCATTGACTAGAGTGGCCGCGATCTTTGCAAACGCCGCGGCGTGGCCGTAACACGACGCAGACAGACCCGGTGGAATCGAGGGGTGAGGCTCCGTGGTAAACTGTGGCAACATGAAGAGCCGTTTGGGAGGCGAAACAGCCGGCGCTTTAAGAGAGCCAAGTCAAATGATCCGGCTCACTGACGTAAAGAGATAGTATCTATAAGGGACGGCTCAATTCAAAATTCAAAGCAGAAAGTCTACATGTTTGAGAGGCTGAAACGGGCATTTTTAAAAAACCTTTTTGAATACAAAATGACACCAAAACCTTTAGCGTACTGGGCTAAATCAATGCAGCTCTACTTTGTTAGAAACGTAAGGCTCTAACCAGGAGCCTATGTCTGGGACAAATCATGGAAACAAGGACTCAGGAGGGAAAATCAACTCCATTGGATCTTTGCTTTTTCAAAATACTTGTCAATTCAAACTCAACATGTCCTGCAGCTGCTTCACAGTAGAACTTGTATGAAAACACATGTGACCCACCTTCAATGTCAGTGTTATTGTCGCAGATTTATCGTTTAAACGTTTATTATTTAAACATTTTTACTTTTGTCTTGCAGCAGCTGGGTTTTTACCTCTTGTGTTGTTGCTTTTTACACATTTTTAAAATCATTGTTTTGTTTGTTAGTGTTGGGGAATAATTTGCCCTGCATGTCCTCCTTCGCCCTCTGACGCAGATGACCAACCTTGAGCAGCCGTTATCTCAGAGGGGCTGCCCTGGCAAGTTGTTGTTGTTACCAGTTTGTGACCGGGCAGCTCTCGGTCAGAGATAGTCATTGTTGTGGGACACCTGGAACACATCCTTCTCGGGGTGTAGATGACCCCGAGCCATAAGCGACAACAAATGTGATTCAGTTTAGTTTCCTCAGCTGTTTAGTCTATCTAATGAAGAATGTTAATTATTACACTCTGAACGAGTTAAAACCTCGAGCGACAGGAGGGGTCTTCAGAATTGATGGTGGCATCTCAACCGTGTGGTCAGACCGTGGCCCGTGACATGTCTTGTGAATTCTCCGGCCGAAGCTCCAAATAAACCGTCTGTGTTTGCCATCAAAGCTCCAGCTCTCCTCGTGTCTCTCTGAGTCCTGACTCCAATTGCTTCAGAAGTTACCCCCAGTTAGAAATATTATTTATTGCTTGAAGGTGTTCTGTCGAGGTCTGGTTTCAAAGCATTGGTCTAATAACATTCACCAAATCCTGGATAACTTTTAAATCGTTTTTAACACCGTATTTAAACCTAATGGAATATAGTGTGTGCTTCTTTGTCAAATTAAAACAATCGTCTTGTGCAAGGGATTTGTCAAACTTCTTCAAAATATACCCTTTAATATTTACCCATTAACCCGCTCATGAATGTTATAGACCTGTCCCTTTTGTTAAAGTTGCTTTTTATCTCCAGTTTATTTTGTTAAATGATGTGTCTTTTCTTTTCAGAGCTCAACAAGAACCCAGTGGAGGGCTTTTCAGCTGGTCTGATAGACGACGATGACATTTATAAATGGGAAGTCGTGATCATCGGTCCACAAGATACCCTTTTGTAAGAGAGAACATATTGTCAAACAAGATACAATGAACAGAAATATATATAAATGACTATTTGAAGTCATAATTTGTCCTTTCTCTGTTTTCTTATTGCAGTGAAGGCGGGTTTTTCAAAGCATACCTCACCTTTCCCTATGATTATCCTCTACGGCCTCCAAAGATGAAGTTCATCACTGAGATCTGGCACCCAAACGGTAAAGATGCCATCACTTGTGAATTAAGTTAATTTCTGCTTCTTTATTTGATGATTTTAAAGGGTTTTGTGATAAAGCATGCTCTGAGTTTGCTCGTGAAATAAAGTCTGTCGTCACGTTGTTTTGTCTGCGGGTAAATTCCCTCACTTAAGTGCAGTACTTGAGTAAATGTACTTAATTACTTTACACCACTGTTATTAGTAACGGTTGAATAAGTACTCAGATCCTTTACTAAAGTAAAATACAAATTGTTATGGTCTTAAAATACTACAAGTAAAAGTCCTGAGAGCAAGATGTTACTTAAAGTGGACCTATCATGCTATATTGGAAACATATATTGTAGGCCCATACCTATACCAAACATGTCTGAAGCTTTTTGCTTAATATACCAAATAGATCACCCATTGTAGCCATGCCTCATACTGCTCATACCCCTCTATTCCAGCCCTGTTGCAAACAGGCTGATTCTGTGACCGTAGCTTTAAATTGAACGTCTGCTGCTAGCCACGCCCCTTTGTAGCGTCACGCAGCTTTCCCCTGCGAGAGAGATTTCTACGGGGTGAAGCTCAGCTAAACGCTGCGGTGCGGTGATTAAATGCCATGTTATGCTCCTAACCACGTGTCACGTGTGCAGGAGACGATAGGTTGGGACGTGTGCCGGAGACGATAGGTTGGGACGTGTCACGTGTGCCGGAGAATATAGGTTGGGACGTGTCACGTGTGCCGGAGAATATAGGTTGGGACGTGTCACGTGTGCCGGAGAATATAGGTTGGGACCAGGGTTTCCGTTAGCCGGTAATTACCGGTTTTTAGCTGGTCAAATGTAATAAAAACTGGTACATTCAAAACCTTCTGGTCAAAATGTCCGATGCTTCGATCGATTGGCCGCCGATCATTATCGGCCGATATTCACTCTTAATAGTTTGATCGGTGCTCTCTATAAAGGCCGATCAGGAGAACTGGATCTGATCGATATGGACATAAACGTGAGTGAAGTGTAACCGGACACGAGAGAGAGATCAGATCAGCTGCTGCTGAGACACACTCTGCTGCATAATCACCTGAAGCCCCGCCCACTGTTCAGCGAGCTGCAGGAGCTGCATGAGAAACTGACGGGCTGTCAGGAGAGAGAGGGAGGGAGAGGGGAAAAGAGAGGATCCGTTTCTCCCGTGTTATTATTTAAAGTTAATTTAAACTTTTTAATAATGTACTTCATCTACTACAAGTAGTTTCTTTGAATGTAATAATTATGTTGTTTGTTGTTTGGAATCATTTATTGAAAAATGAATCTGAATTTTTCGATCTGTGACGATTATAAACTGAAGCAATATAAAAATGAGCCATTAACTGAGTTTTAAACATCAGCATATCTGCTCAGAGTCCAGTAATTACCTGCTAACGGAAACTCTGCTACACAATTCGTGTCGCGTGTGCCGGAGACGATAGGTTGGGACGTGTCACGTGTGCCGGATAATATAGGTTGGGACGTGTCACGTGTGCCGGATAATATAGGTTGGGACGTGTCACGTGTGCCGGAGACGATAGGTTGGGACGTGTCACGTGTGCCGGAGACGATAGGTTGGGACGTGTCACGTGTGCCGGAGACGATAGGTTGGGACGTGTCACGTGTGCCGGAGACGATAGGTTGGGACGTGTCACGTGTGCCGGAGACGATAGGTTGGGACGTGTCACGTGTGCCGGAGACGATAGGTTGGGACGTGTCACGTGTGCCGGAGACGATAGGTTGGGACGTGTCACGTGTGCCGGAGACGATAGGTTGGGACGTGTCACGTGTGCCGGAGACGATAGGTTGGGACGTGTCACGTGTGCCGGAGACGATAGGTTGGGACGTGTCACGTGTGCTGGAGAATATTGGTTGGGACGTGTCACGTGTGCCGGAGACAATAGATTGGGACGTGTCACGTGTGCTGGAGAATATTGGTTGGGACGTGTCACGTGTGCCGGAGGCGATGGGTTGGGACGTGTCACGTGTGCCGGATGTCGCCAATGACGTAATAGGAGCAAAAATTCTGGATCTGTTTCTTTCAATAATTGTAAGTGATTATCTTTAGGCTTTGGACTGACACAACAATACATGATGAATCTAGAAAACAACCAGCAGATATATATGATATAACAAATGTAATCTGCAGTTGAGTTGCACGTCTAATTATCAACATCCCAGACCATGAACATCTTATCTAGAAATATTATTATATGATTATTTTCCTTTATAAACTGTAGACAACATTCCTTCCCTTTTCCTCCCCAGTTGCAAAGAACGGGGATGTTTGCATCTCGATTCTTCACGAGCCCGGCGAGGATAAGTTTGGTTACGAGAAGCCGGAGGAGCGCTGGTTACCGATCCATACCGTCGAGACAATCATGATCAGTGTGATCTCCATGCTGGCAGACCCCAACAGCGACTCGCCGGCCAACGTGGACGCAGCGGTGAGTTACACCTCTTATACCCTATACCCACCCTATGGAACTCACTACTCCAACCCAATCACTCAAAACCCACCTGTTCAACACTGCATTCAATCCCTGACCCCCCCCCCCCTCTTTTCTGTTATTGTTTATCTCTTTATGTATTTTTCTTGGTTTTTTGTTTTATTCTCTGTCAAAGCGTCTTTCAGTTTTTAGAAAAGCGCTATATAAGTGTCATTTATTATTATTATTATTACCCTGCACATGACACTAGAAATCTAAATCTAAAAATCTATTTTTTTAATAACGTTTTTTCCTAAAAGCATTTATTGATGACGATAGAAATTAGGGGTGGGAAACATTTGATTAATGTAATGATGGATTAAAAAGAAAATCCAAATTGAGATCAATAAAGCCTGCGTCACACTGTCCCGAAATTGACACCAGATGGACACACGATAAAGGAAATGTTCAAATTCGGCTCTGATCGTTACAACATCGGGCCATTCGTGAGGGCATCTTAAGCCATCGTATGACCGCCGGTGGAGTTTCTCAGGCTTCGGCAGCAACTTCGTGAGCGGTGGCAAAATCTTTGGCATGCCAAAGGACCTTGCGAAGGTTCATTTTCATGTTGAATTCGTGTGTCCATTTTGCCCTTTTATAAGGCCATCGTGAGGGCATCGTGTCATCTTCGTGTGATCATCGGTGCCATCGGGCATTTTTCGCCTCACGAAGACAATACGAAGGAAACAAGAAGCTGCCCGATTGTCTTAGGAAGGCAACACGACTACGTGAAGCCCTCACTATGCCGTCGTGTAGCCATCGTATTATAGTACGATGACATCGAGATTGCATTTATTTCACAACTAAATCATGTAAACATATTATGTAAATAACCCAATTTGTGTTCTGTGAAACTGAAAAGGATATTTAATAGTTTTTGTTACTTTCGTTGCAGTTGTATGTCTTAAATGTAATTTAGGTTAACTTCCTGTTTTATTTAGATGCTTTTATTTTGAAGGTGAGTTTACGCTGTTGACAGGAAGTTGTTGTTGCTCTGGAAACAACATGATGGAGTGTGTGGTTCGGGTGCCATCGTGTGGCCTTCTGTAGGCATCGTACTTGCTTCGGCTGTTGCTTGGCTGTTGACCAACTTCAGGGCCATCTTCGTGCGAAATTCACAATTCCATATTCGTGTGTCCATCTGGTGTCAATGTCGGGACAGTGTGACGCGGGCTTTAAGAACATCTAATCTTAATCAATATTTTCTTATCTTCTCAAATTCTGAATCTACTCAAAATGTCTACTAAAAATATGTTTTTCTTTACTATAACATAAGCTTGTTTTTTAACACCAAGTCAGATTGGAGTCGAGCATTATTGTTCTTCTCTTGGGGGAAAAATCCCACCCCAAAAAACAGTTTACCTTGTTGTTTTTATTGGCACATTTTTTAGATCTGAAAAGGCCACCAAATAAGCCTTTAGATTGTGTTCATGTACTCACACATACGATCCCACCCCTGGTAGAAATCCTGTTTATTCCTGTTATCATAGCGGTTAAAGTGAATTGAGGATGTGTCTCTGAAAGAACAGTGTGTTGTTGTTCCCGCAGAAAGAGTGGAGGGAGGACCCTAACGGAGAATTCAAGAGGAAGGTGGCTCGCTGCGTAAGAAAAAGTCAAGAGATGGCTTTTGATTAGGAATCCATTTAAATTCCAGGGTAAGTGAAGAGTTACACGTCTGACACAATCACCACATTCAAATCCCAACTAAGAAACAACCTGTTCAGATCAGCCTACTCTCCGTGTGCCCTGAATCACCTGACCCTATCGTTTGTGATTGTCTCCTCCATGACCGCCTGTTGTGGTTTTATCTGTTGCTTTTACCTCTTATAGTATTTACTCAATTGTACGTTGTACTTGGGTGTCGTGAAAGGCATTTTTTATTATTACAGTCATGTACTAGTCGTGAAATACAGATTAATTATTTATAGACTTATTTGTTCATGCTCTGTTTGAATGGAAAAATATAACGACTCATATTTCTCATTCAGTATAATTAAAACGAGACAAAAAACTTGCTTTATCTTACGCCTAAAGTCACAGAGACAAACATTAGATATGAACTTAATTCCCAATATAATAATAACAATGTTTTCTGTCTGTTTTCCAGGGAATGCCTTCAGAGGGAAGATTCAGCAGGCTTTTGCACCCCTTGTTTTGCCAGAGGAAGGAACCGGTTGGCTTCAAACACGTTTCTGTGAACGGTTTCATTTTCCGCCAGACGAGCCAATTTGAGAAACCCTACCAGCGAAATTAACCCATTTCCTACTTGGAATTGTATATTTAATTTTATTTATTTTGAACAAATTAATGATGTAAGATATGTCACTACTGTAAATTAACTTGCTTTTTTATCTGCTGCTGAACAGTTTCTACTTTGTACCAGGTTTCTTATGCAATTCAGTGGTCAAGATTGTGTCAAAACTATAAAACCCCATCACCAGATTAACGTCGCCCAACGAATCCCTGTCAATATTTCTGATTATTTTCCACACCGTCTTTGAATCACTGTTGCCTTCTGTGGGCTTCACTTCCTCACAGTCTTCTTATCTTTAAGAGAGACAGTTTAAGAGGGGTTTCACAGTTTAATTTCCTAAAAAACAGCCTCCTGTGTGTTAGCGTTTTATTTATAAAACATTGACCCCTCAAACAGCTCCGTTGTGTTTAATCTGCTCGATGTGAAATGAATGGTTTACTCAGTGATTTGAGGGTTATTGTTTTATAATATAAAGCCTCGCACACAAGCAACTTCTCAACCTCTCATACTCCTGATCCTTAAAGGAATACTTCACCCACAAAATATCACACAATTTAAGTCAAATCACCCTAAAAGAAAATTGTGTTTTTATGCCTTCAAAGTGAATACAAAAATGAAAAACGGACACTTATACGGTATAATCCAAGTTTAATTAACTCGTTTATGCACACTACTCCACAAACGCATGACTTTTACTTTAAAATGCTCTATTTAAAACACTTTTGTGCAAGAAAATTGTAGTAAATGGTGCATTTGTTTGTAAATAGTAATGAATTAGTCTTCATACGACTGGATACATGTTGTGTGAGTTTGTAAATGGATGATTTAATATATTTTTGCTTCCCATATTTAATTAAAAGTACCTCTTCAGAATTTTTCTCCATTTTCTGACAAACTTCAAACTAAAACAGGATGAATATTTGCTAAAGGAATTATTATTTTGTGGGTTAAGAACTCCTTTTACACCTGTCCCTCATGGTCCATTAGGAAATCTATTCATTATCACTCGTTATAATGAATCGCGGAAAACCAAATACAATGGGGAAATAGCCAAAACTGCAAAGAAATCCACGTTAACTCAATTTTTTTTTATCTAGCACAGGGAATTTTCGGGGCTCCGTTGTAGAAATATGCTAGTTTTTCTTATTTTGGTGTGGCATGTTAGGCTTTTATCAACATCTGGGTAAAGGAGGATACTAGTCACTTTCACTCGAGGGTTTATCGTTGGGTAATCCTCTTTAAATCAACATCTTGGACAATATTTATCACCATCAGTGAATTGGGGTTTTTGAACGAGACCTGACGTTTTCTCGGCACTTCGTAAACGTGTTCTGAGGAGAAATGAACACACCTTTTATTTTTTTAAGGATACACAGTTTGGGGGGTATCTGGAAACCATGATACATGACTGACTGACATTAAAAAGAACAAATATCTCACCGTGTTTTTCGCGCATGCAATCAGGTTTGAAGGAGTGAATGTGACGTGTTTAGTTAGTAGATATTCTGTAGACTTCATGATCACACGACTGCTGTCCACATTACACCTTTCTTTGGATTTTCTAACCTACCATGACCTCCTCTGACCGGTGTTCACTGTATTTGCACAGATTCGGTGCGTTTGAAATGTCATTAAGCAATACGCTCTGAGAAAAAATGGCGTGTCCAGGTAAATCCACCCTAACGCCATTATTGTTATTATTTTGATTTCCATTTTGTGTCAATGCAATGTATATTGGACTTGATGCTCAATAAAGTGTGTAAACAGAGAGAGAGCCTGTTTAGTGTTTTTACATTTTAGATGAGAACACACTCTGGGTTCAAGTGTGTTAGACCTCTGCTCGGTAACTGGAACCCGGGGGAAGTGTCACGTTTCAGGCTTGGCTGCAACTCAGCGACCTCCACGACACACACAGGAAATATCAGGATTGTGAGAAATGATGAGGAAGAGGGTAACGTTTGTGGAGCAGCTGAAAAAAGAGACCAGGTTAAAAAATGGGCACGTGTTAACGAGGTGAGAGCACAATGCGAGAGTTTTAAATGACTAGGAATGATGCATTTATGTATTTTTAAAAGTAGGATTATGTTTCTTTCTTATTTCAGGTCTGCAGAATATAGCCAGAGAGGCACAGGTGGTGAGTCAAATTGTCCTAATTCAACATGAGAAAAGCTTGTTATTATTCATTTTCCAATATATTCTTTGAATGCAAGTGATATCTAAGATACAATTGAGCTGTTTGCTTTCTACTCAACGAAACATTGTCTGCTTTTGTCATTTGTATTCAGACCTTTTCCTTTTGGAGTTATAACGAAAACAACTCTTATATATTTTAGATGAATCTGCAAGTCCACGACTAATTGGTGTAAAATTGCCATGCATTTTCTACAAGTAGTCTTTCAATCAGAAATAACTTTGCAGAAGTACAATAGGAAGATTATAAGTCAAAACAATTATTAAAAAATGTGTTTGCAGAAGCACCTTTTATAGTATTTTACATATTACATTTTTGTATCATCATTTGAGATGCATTAGTGGGGTATTTTAAAGGGGACCTATCATGCAAAATGCACTTTGTGATGTCTTTTCTACATAAACATGTGTCCCCGGTGTGTCAGGGAACTCACGCAGCGTCAGAGAATAAAACCCTCTCTCTTTTCCTCCGTACCCAAATCTCTAAAAACGGGGAACAACAGAGCTGATCCAGATTTGTGTCCGATATGACGTAATATCTGAAATGTGGACCCACGGCCCAATCAGAAAGTTGCTATCAGAAACAATGCCCGACTGTTTTGGACGTAATATGGTCGGTGTTTACATTAGCATCGCTAACACTCAGAGCTAACCTGTACTGGAGAGCATGTGTGTGAAGAAGCAGGAAGTAAAAAGGAACTCACCTTGTGGTATAACCGGCAAGAGAGAAAGCCTTTGAGCTCCAAACTGTTTCAGAGAGAATCCATGATAATCCATGATATGGAGTTTCATCACGGCAGCATTTAGTTTAGACAGTAGCTGCCGGGTCCCGCATGAGCTCAGCCCCCTGCTTTTTATTTTTAAAGCTTTATCCCCAAATCAGCACGTTTGAAACAGGAAGTGAAATAGAGGGATATGAGGCATGGCTAGAATGGGTGATCTGTTTGGTATTTTGAGCAAAACACTTCATAGACATGTTTTTTATATATATTTGTATATATCTGAGACCTATGTTATTGCCTAAAAATAGCATAGTTCTTTTTTTAAATTACTTTAAATGGTGATTTTATAATAAATCCTATTTTTCAGTTTCTGCTGCATGTTTCTTTTGCAGGTGTTGAATATCTACCCAGTGAGCCGGTGAGGGAGGCGTTCAGAGGAAAACACGGTAACGTTTCTTCAGGAGGACAACACATGAAGACGAGCCACGTTCCCAAATCCATGATGGCTGCTCCCTTCTTACAGGTAAACACATGACACCAGAACACAAGGTAGTTTTTTGTTATATGTTTGAATAGGATCATTGGAATGGTGGTAGTCCATCTAAGCAGTCAAATGAATGCCATTTTTAGGTAATGCCGGCAATCATTATTTTTTTATTATATATCGTAACGGAGCTAACCTGAGAGAAGGCCATTACACTTTTATTGTTTACTTGTTCATTTTTTATGTCTCAGAAAGAAAGTTTAGTGTTTTGATAACCTGTGATTATTTTTATAGTTAGCATTTTTTTTATGCATGCAGATACATGTAGTCAAATGAACAGTGCAGACAAAAAACAACAAATTAAACTATTTTTTAAATTATTTGTATTGATAGATATCTTAAAGTTTTAACAATATATCTGACAATTTAAATCAAATTAATCTGCTATATCAAAATGCTAAAAGATGGTCTATAGCGTAATCCCTGTTTGCATTGGAATATATATATATTTTTTATTGTATGGCCATTGTATATTAGCTATATCTAAATTCATACAGATGCCGATATTTTTAAGCAGAAGAGACAATTTGTACAATTAAAGTGAAATGAATGTTGATTTAAATTCAGCAAATTAGTTATTTTTTATTATTAAACTGTCATATTTTATCAAATGCAATAACAAATCAAACCTTCCCAGCTCTTTCGGCCATTAAAATCCCATAAGGCACCACCATTAAATTGCACTATTCCTCATATGTAAAAGGATTACTGTCATTCTGCTCTATTATATAATCTCATGAGTTCTGTTTGTGCCGCAGCATCCCGCCCTCACAGCCGGACAGAGACACTACCTGTGCAGCATAGCAAGCGTCTACAGCACGGAGCACATGAGGCAGCAGATGAAGCAGCACTACCTGCACCTTCTGCACACATGCCTTCAGTCAGGTGTGTGTTTCAACATCCCTCACACACCTCTGTTGACCAGAGGTTGGAAGTAGTGGAGTACAAATACTTTGTTACTGTACTTAAGTACATTTTTCTGGTATCAGTACTTTACTCCACTACTTGTTTTTCTGACGACTTTTTACTTTTACTTCTTACATTTTGAACACAAATACCTGTACTTTCTACTTCTTACATGTTGAACACAAATACCTGTACTTTCTACTTCTTACATGTTGAACACAAATACCTGTACTTTCTACTTCTTACATGTTGAACTCAAATACCTGTACTTTCTACTTCTCTCATGTTGAACTCAAATACCTGTACTTTCTACTTCTTACATGTTGAACACAAATACCTGTACTTTCTACTTCTTACACTTTGAACCCAAATACCTGTACTTTCTACTTCTTACATGTTGAACTCAAATACCTGTACTTTCTACTTCTCTCATGTTGAACTCAAATACCTGTACTTTCTACTTCTTACATGTTGAACACAAATACCTGTACTTTCTACTTCTTACATTTTGAACACAAATACCTGTACTTTCTACTTCTTACATGTTGAACTCAAATACCTGTACTTTCTACTTCTTACATGTTGAACCCAAATACCTGTACTTTCTACTTCTTACATGTTGAACCCAAATACCTGTACTTTCTACTTCTTACATGTTGAACACAAATACCTGTACTTTCTACTTCTCACATGTTGAACTCAAACACCTGTACTTTCTACTTCTTACACGTTGAACTCAAATACCTGTACTTTCTACTTCTCACATGTTGAACACAAATACCTGTACTTTCTACTTCTTACATGTTGAACACAAATACCTGTACTTTCTACTTCTTACATGTTGAACTCAAATACCTGTACTTTCTACTTCTTACATGTTGAACACAAATACCTGTACTTTCTACTTCTTACATGTTGAACACAAATACCTGTACTTTCTACTTCTTACATGTTGAACACAAATACCTGTACTTTCTACTTCTCACATGTTGAACACAAATACCTGTACTTTCTACTTCTTACATGTTGAACTCAAATACCTGTACTTTCTACTTCTTACATGTTGAACTCAAATACCTGTACTTTCTACTTCTTACATGTTGAACACAAATACCTGTACTTTCTACTTCTTACATGTTGAACCCAAATACCTGTACTTTCTACTTCTTACATGTTGAACTCAAATACCTGTACTTTCTACTTCTTACATGTTGAACACAAATACCTGTACTTTCTACTTCTTACATGTTGAACTCAAATACCTGTACTTTCTACTTCTTACATGTTGAACACAAATACCTGTACTTTCTACTTCTTACATGTTGAACACAAATACCTGTACTTTCTACTTCTTACATGTTGAACTCAAATACCTGTACTTTCTACTTCTTACATGTTGAACACAAATACCTGTACTTTCTACTTCTTACATGTTGAACACAAATACCTGTACTTTCTACTTCTTACATGTTGAACACAAATACCTGTACTTTCTACTTCTCACATGTTGAACACAAATACCTGTACTTTCTACTTCTTACATGTTGAACTCAAATACCTGTACTTTCTACTTCTTACATGTTGAACTCAAATACCTGTACTTTCTACTTCTTACATGTTGAACACAAATACCTGTACTTTCTACTTCTTACATGTTGAACTCAAATACCTGTACTTTCTACTTCTTACATGTTGAACTCAAATACCTGTACTTTCTACTTCTTACATGTTGAACTCAAATACCTGTACTTTCTACTTCTTACATGTTGAACCCAAATACCTGTACTTTCTACTTCTCACATTTTGAACTCAAATACCTGTACTTTCTACTTCTTACATGTTGAACTCAAATACCTGTACTTTCTACCAGAGTCCTGCACGGGTCTGATTTTCAAGACCCGCTCCGCCCCGCACCCGCGACGTGCAATACCGAACCCGCCTCGCTACCCGCACATATTGCCAATTAGTTCCGCAACCCGACTCGACCCGTCGGCACAAGATCCGCAACCCGACCCGAACCCGCATAGCCTATGAGCAGTGAAAACGTGCAATTATTAACACACGCAGTTTCATATTTGTCTCAAAAAGCGTGGGATGTTGGTTATTTTCTCCATCTAGGAACCAGAAGCCTCCCAGACGTTGGATTTCGCTCTTGAGGAAGTGTTATTGAAAATGCTGTATTCTCCGCTAGAGAGCTTCACCTCAGCCATTTCGAATGTGGCGCGCACAGCAGCAGATTGATGCGCTGCAGAGGTTATGATCAGTCATTAGGGGCAGGTGCGGCACAGCCCCACCTAGTGTCAGCAGAAAGTATTAAAAGTAATGATTACAAAAAAATGCAAAAAATAAATTAAAAAATATATAAAATATATTTTAAGATCATGTTTAATCATCTGATTCGTCTCATTGCTGTTTTAGTCTGTGTTCTTCTAATTAGTGTCTACAGTGTGTGCCTATTGAGCTGTTTAGAGCCATGTGGGACAAAACCCGATCCTGCCCCTCCCTCTCCCTGTTTAAGTGAACGGTGACTGTAAAAACTACACTGCGCATGCTCAGAGTATTGTCCTATTTAATGTGTGTGGCAAAAAAATAATGACCATAGGGGCACTGAGCTGCCATCCCCACCATACGTCATCTCACATAATTCAGAGCTGATTGGCTGTAAGTACGTGTGCCGCGAAAAGTGTGGTGTGTGAAGAGGAGGAGAGAGAGCTGCAGTGAGGCGTCCTCAAACCCGGAAATAAACTGCGCATGGCTTCCCTCCACAAAAAAGCAATGATATTTCTCCATAGGATTTTAGAAAATAGCTCCAAATAAGGTCTGTGGGAAACAAACCTGTTAGATAAATGCACGTTTTGTTCAGCCGGATAATATCCACATGTCTACCCTACTTTTATAATTTTCGATTCATAAATCTATTGATTAGATCAGATTTATGATAGACTTTTGAAACTACAAGAACATAAGGAGGACTTTTACAAAAAAGTAATAGAGATTTTTGTCCAGAAGGATAGGCAAATGGACTTCATCTTCATGTCAAGGTAAGACTGCAATTGTATTGAAAATGGGATCTTACTAAGAGAGAACAATTCAATATTTAAATGATACAATTACATTTTTTGGGTATCCTTTTGTTGAACTGTCTGTTTAAAATTAATTGAAGCATCAGACAAAAAAAGCTTTTGAAAATAATATTATATTTTGATTTAGGTCAAAATATAATATTTGTAAACCTGAAGAGTCAGAGCCTCACCAGCCATGAACCTCAGAAGCTTATATATAGATATCTAAGTTTTGTGTGCCCCACCACTTTTGTACATATAAAAACGCCACTGGTTATGATTATGCGCGGTCCCGCGGGGGAGAGGTCTGAGGATTTAAACATTAAAACTAAATTACTATTATTTTAATATATTTATTATGCAATACCCGCGACCCGACCCGCATCATCTTTGTTTTACCCAGAACCGAACCCGGACAAAAGTGTTTGAAAAAATACCACCCGCGAATCACCTTTTTTGCGGGTCACCCGTCGGGTACCCGCGGGTACCCGACCCGATGCAGGACTCTGCTTTCTACTTCTTACATGTTGAACTCAAATACCTGTACTTTCTACTTCTTACATGTTGAACTCAAATACCTGAACTTTCTACTTCTTACATGTTGAACTCAAATACCTGTACTTTCTACTTCTTACATGTTGAACACAAATACCTGTACTTTCTACTTCTTACATGTTGAACTCAAATACCTGTACTTTCTACTTCTTACATGTTGAACACAAATACCTGTACTTTCTACTTCTTACATGTTGAACACAAATACCTGTACTTTCTACTTCTTACATGTTGAACTCAAATACTTGTACTTTCTACTTCTTACATGTTGAACTCAAATACCTGTACTTTCTACTTCTTACATGTTGAACTCAAATACCTGTACTTTCTACTTCTCTCATTTTCCAAACAGCTGGTTCCTTTAGTCTGAATGTGTGTTTGGTGCGTGATCATTATTCTTTAGAGTCATTGCGTGCCTATTGATTTGAACACGATCCGTGTATCCATCATTTCCTGGTCTTCTCTAAAGAAGAGGGACCAATGGAAACGTTGTCATGTTGCCGTTGTTCAGCATGGAAACATTCATTAGCTAACAATGACATTATTGTTCTATTAATATAAAGGGAGGTCAGGTACTCTTTAAAGCAGCTGCTAGTTCTGGGTACTTTATATATATATATATATATATATAGCTGGTATACTTCTTTACTTTGACTTAAGTAAAGAAGTTTAGTCAGTACTTCTACTTTTACCAGAGTATTTTTAAACACGAGTATCTGTACTTCTACTTGAGTAAAGGATGTGTGTACTTTTGCCATCTCTGCTGTTGACCAGTAAGATCCATCTCATGTTGTGTTTTTTTATCTCTCAGTTCAGAGTCCCCCCTGCAGTAGGAGGCTTGGGACTCATCAGCGAGGAGAAAACAAAACAAAGGATGCAGTGAAGGATGTAAGAATGAAGCCTCAAGGACCGAGGAAGAGCAGCAATAATTCTGATGTCATACTTCCAAAAATAATCAACAGATGACCCATTTGATGGAATATTATTTTCACGGTGTTATTACCTTATATTGAGTCTTAATGTTAATCTCTTTGCATCAACACTTCTTATGTTATTGTAGATATTTTAGGTGTAAATGCCTCTAACAAAGGATGTGTGCAGTCCTTTATAAATACAGTCTATGGTGCATTCATGTATTTTTTAAATATACCTATAAACACATATAACAACACTGCATTTGCTAAGGTACTCAACGTGTTTACTAGTTACATTTTGCTCAGTTATTTTACTGTAGTTGTGGAATATAACTTTATTGTCATTGTCAAAAGATAAATAAAGATGAAAGAAATCTCATGTTTGTCATAAAGGGTAGGCCTACTTGCATTCTTAACGCTTTTATACAAAACAGAGCATTACATATTGTATAAAATATTCTGTTCACCTTGAGTTCTAGGAATCAGACTTTATATATTTATATCAATATAAAATATAGTCAACAAGGTAGGTTGAATAATATTGTTAAAAAATTAACAGTAACACAAGATTATATCATGTATATTAAATAAGTGCATACAATCCTAAACAAGGAGAACGATATAAATTACAAAAAGAAATAGTCCTGAATTAAAATAAAAATAAAATAAAATGACAGTAGGGGAGAGTGGGGTAAGTTGAGCCATTTTTTAGTTATGCTGTCCTCTAAGCAAGGAGAAATGGCACATAATAAAAATGAAAACACACACCTATAATTCAGGATGTCTCCTATCAATGGCAATGATAATAATTAATATGTGATCAAGGGCAGTGAAAATATTACTTCGGGAAAAAAAAAAGTGTTGTGGCTCAACTTGCCCCAGTGTAGGGGTAAGTTGATCCAGGTCAGGGGGTACATTGAACCACGGTTCAAACCTGGGCATAAACAACAAACCAAATACAAGCTTAGTTTTTCAAATATTTTTAATATAAATTTCGATTGAATTGATTGATTATTTTTTAACATGTTAAAAGGAAAAGTAATCATACAAATGGTGATACCATTTCATACATCTTACCAATCAAAGACAGGGTAAATTCAACTTTAAATGTAGCCTACAATGAGCTCTTATTATCAACTTGACCTACTTTCATTAATTTCTCCATTGAAAAACTGGCTCGACTTACCCCACGGCCCGTGGTTCACTTCACCCCACAGCCACCATTTTAGAACAAATAGCCTAGCATTAGAATTCAGAGTCATATTTAGCTTAATGATTCACATGGTGTAATACGCTGCCAACACATCAACATATACAATATATGTGTTTAAACCTGGATACTTTTTTTTTTGACATGACAGCCGATATAGCTGACATCTAGAAAATGTACTTTGACAAGCAAAAAACGTTTTTTGTAAAAATGTTTACTTACCAGACACAATCTCTCTTTCATAGGCAAGGAGAAATGGGAGGAGCTTGCATCATTTCTGGTCACTTGATTACAACTACAAGGCGTTGCCTGGTTACAGGGGGTGGTTCAACTTACTAGTGATGGGAATTCCGGCTCTTCTTGGTGAGCCGGATCATTTGGCTCGGCTCACCAAGAAGAGCCGGCTCTTTCGGCTCCCAAACGGCTCTTCAGTTTACCACTTATTATACCTTTTAATTAAATCAAATGTAGCCCTGTTTTGACTAATGATTTATATGTGTACACATATATCACTTAAATTATTCAATACATCCTTTGTACTGAAGTATTCAAAAGTAAAAATTACATGTTTAATATAAATGATTTGCTGTGGCCAATTGTTTTCATTGCATTTACAGACCCGTGCAACTCTCTGATACCACCCAATGAATGCATTGACTTGCTTGTAGAACCACGCTACACAAAACAGATAGCAACACCTATAAAACTATTTTAACAAAGGGGCTACTGTATCGACCTATATAAAGTATATAAATATATATTTTTTTTCAAAATACCAAAAAGATCCTGCATTTTAGCCATGCCTCATTTCACTCTATTTGCTCCAGCGCTGTTTTTGCAGGGGCTGATTCTGTGAGCTGCAGCTGACCACGCCCCCCCGCAGGAGAGGGGAGCGTGCTTTGAGATCAGCTGCTGGGCTGTCAGAAGAGGGGGAGAAAAAGAGATCACCGTCCTCCGTGTTTTATTTTTATAGAAGTAAGAAGAGAAGTAATGGGGCAGAAATCCTCATTTTTACGCAGCGGTCCAGACATAGACATCAAACGGCGACACATATTCAGTTGACAGTTACTTTGGCATTAGGGCAGGGATATCTAGATACTTTCCAACGTTTGACATAAGGAATTGTGCTACTTTTAAAGCAAGCAACGATGTTTTCAAATCTGTAATCAAAAAGCTCCTCAAAAACAGTCTCGAAGCAGTTCCTGCCGTTGCTACGTTAGTTCAAACAGTAACAACGGACTATTTTTCTTAGCGGATGCATGTCAATTTAAATCAATACATAAAACTATTTTTTAAATCAATAAAATCATTTTCTAAATCCTTAAAAGCATTTCCATTAATATTGGGAGTCATGTCGTTACTTTGTTGAGAATGTGGCCATGTAATAAGCGGGATAATGTGCACATTGCATAATGTGCCTTCATGCCGATCTAGATCCCTCCGCAAAAATGGCTCGTTCGCAGGCGAGAGCCGGCTCCCGTCGTTCACTTAAAAGAGCCGGCTCGTTCGCGACCGACACATCACTACAACTTACCCCCTTCTCCCCTACAATTTTTGCTCTGCATTTAAAGGATAACCAGATAAAAGTTAAGAAACATAAACAAATTGTGAGATTTTTATAAATTTGTCTCTGTTTTTATTTAAAAATATCCGCGCAGATTTTCTTTTTTTTAAAAGTCCATTAGCTTCACTAGCTAGCATAACCGTTAGCTAGGTTAGCTATCAGACTTCCTGTTAGCATCTTCCCGCCCTCAGAGAAAATATGAACTGTGTTCTGGAAGGAAATGCTGTTAAAGGTAATATAAAACAAGACTTGTGACATATGTAATGATTTGTAAAGAATAATAATATAATCCAGAGGGTTAAAAAACCCGTAACCTAATTTGTTTAGGCTTATAAAACATTAATTTATCATAAAACGCTAGCTGGTTAGCTTTGTTTAGCTTCTAACCCGCTAGCTAACAAAGGCATTTTATAAAAGCTAGGTTATTGTTATGATCGATACTGTTAATTTAAACAATAGTGTTCATATTTTAATTAATTCTACACGTTACTTACATCATTATAGGTATTTTATATTGTTTTAGTATTCCTCAAACTTGTTTAATGATGTTTAATACTTGTGTTATTGCTTTGTTTCCCTTGTAAAGTAGTATTAGTTTTATTGTATTTATATTGTATGTTGTTTTGTTGTCTTTTAGCATTTGGAAAGGCCATTCACTCCCTGTCAAGGATTGGAGATGAGCTTTGTTTGGATCCCATGAGTAAAGGGGTGAGCAGCACCTACTCAAACGGGGAATTATCCCATTTTCCTGACATTAATCAGAGGAGTAGCCAGGAATTCTGACTTGCCTAGAGAAGAGGTTTTGAAGTGGGAAGCTTAGACAAAACTTGGAAGAAGTACCCGTTTTGTTTTCTTGCTTTAAGAAATTAAGCCAAAAATATTGCTGTGTGAATTAATTTCACACACATCACACATATGTAGGCTATTATATGCATCAACACCTGTTGTCTTCCTACAAAAATGTCCCTCTTTATGATTTATTTTGATAACTTATGTAATAACTAACACATTTATTTTTGAATTTCCATTCACTGAGACTTCCCCAAAGTGTTTTAAAGATCTGCCTCCCTCTCTTTCATAGTGGATTAACGCTTGTGTTATTGCTTGCCCAATCATCTCTTTGTTTTTTAAATTAAATTACGTTTTTTTACATTAGGCCTCCATATTGGTCTCAAAGTATTTAGCCTCCTTTCTTCCTAAAGGCAATGGCAGAGGCATCATCTTTACTGAACACCTCTCTTTTGTCCCAAAGCTGGCGCTGAGATCTGTGAATTCGGCTCATTCTGCGTACGCCTGCTTCCTCTTCTCGCCGATGTTCTTCCAGAAATACAACCTGGGTCCAGAGCAGGGCAGTGAGACAGTCCAATGCAAACTGCTCATGAAGGTACATCAGCCATTGTTGACTTATTGTGGTTGCGAGTGACATGTTCTATCTTAAAGGGGAGACACTTATGCCATGTTTTGAGTAATACAGTGTGTATAAATGAGTGTGTGAATGGTGTTTGAACGCTCTGTAAAAAGATTTCTGCTGAGACGAGGAGAGAAAACGGCCTTTAAAGATATGGATTGTAAAACTCACACACGTCGTACACACTACAGGTGCACAGGGTAAAACATGGAACTAACAGATATCACCATGAGACGTTCCCCCATCATTACTGACAATAGTACAATTCTTTTTTATATTACAAGTTTTCTGAAATGTTATGTTTAAATATGCTAATGAGGCATTATCTGATCTCTGACGCTAACTTTTGGTGAATTGAGGAGAAAACGACTTAATAAATTAAACACCGAAATGTGGATTTTGTATCTTTTCTTTCCACTAGACATCTCAAAATTGACCAGTGCATGAAAAACAATAATTTAGCCTGTAGTGTCTCGGCTTAAAACGGCTATGAGAACCTCGTCTAAAGCGTGTCTTTTCTTCTTCTTCAGTCTATTCTACCTCTCTTCCGGTGTTTGGCTACCATTGAGCGTAGCGTGGAGCGATGTCAGATACAAATCAACACTCCCAATGACCGAGTGAAGATCCAGTTTTTCTGCCGACACGGTAGGAAACATTGCATTTGTTTTTATAAACCACCTGCAGGTACAGGAACTATTCAGGATTTGAAGTACATATCCTTTAAGATTGTAGGGACATTATATTTCAATCAATTTGTATTGACTTGATAGAACCCTGAGCCTTTGTCCTTCACTTGGTCAGTTTGCTTTTCCCATGCTGCAGACTCTGTAGTACCATGTTATGAGCACTTGGTGGCAGTGTAATCACTTGTGTTTTCTGACAGGCATCACTAAGACACACGACCTGTGTTTCGAGGAGAGTGAAGCTCTGCAGGCGGTGTTTGCTTCACATCTCTGTCCCAACGTGCTGAAAGCCCCCGCCAGGTGTGCAGCTCACTATTTATTCTTTATTTCATATCCCCCATGAGTGATTACTGCACTAACGCCTTTTCCTTCATGAAGAGGGTGCCATACTCATATTCTGTATACACTGTAGAGCCCCCTGAGACAAATGCAAATGTGTGATATTGGGCTATATGAATACACTTTGATTAATTCATTCATTGGATCCACATTAAAGACATTATATATATATATATATATTTTTTAAAAAACAACTAAAACTAAACACAGTGAAAGTATGACACCTTCTGTGCAAAGATAAAAGCTTGATATATATTTATTCGATTTAGATTTAGAGAAATCTAAGGTCTTAACATTTCCTTAGAAGGTCTTTACAGATTGTGGCAAGTGAGGATACTGTAAAATTAGTTTATGAGATTTATGGCTGCTGCTGTCAGGATTCAGTCTCTTTAATAGAAACATGTTTTGTACTCACAGTTGAGTAAATACATTCACACAGCTTCAGTTCAATTCAGTCTAATCAACCAGATTGACAAGGACATAAAGATTTAATACCCAAGATATCATGTGTCAACAGTGTTTACATGAGGCTCTCCGCTCGATGCTCAGGTTGATTGACATATTGTTTCTGCTCTTCCTCTACAGGGTTCTTGGTGAAATGGTGATGCACTTCCCCGTCTCCCAGGAGGAAATCACTCTGTCTATCACTCCTCTCAGAGTCAGTCTGAGAAATTACTTTGAGGGTGGAAATGGTGAGCTAACGATACACTATGATTGTGCTGTAGTTCCTTTATAGCCCAACATTAGCCGCCTTTAGCTTAGCGGTGGAGACGTGAAGTCATGTGACCGTGCTGTAGTTCCTTTATAGCCCAACATTAGCCGCCTTTAGCTTAGCGGTGGTGACGTGAAGTCATGTGACCGTGCTGTAGTTCCTTTATAGCCCAACATTAGCCACCTTTAGCTTAGCGGTGGTGACGTGAAGTCATGTGACCGTGCTGTAGTTCCTTTATAGCCCAACATTAGCCACCTTTAGCTTAGCGGTGGAGACGTGAAGTCATGTGACCGTGCTGTAGTTCCTTTATAGCCCAACATTAGCCTCCTTTAGCTTAGCGGTGGTGACGTGAAGTCATGTGACCGTGCTGTAGTTCCTTTATAGCCCAACATTAGCCGCCTTTAGCTTAGCGGTGGAGACGTGAAGTCATGTGACCGTGCTGTAGTTCCTTTATAGCCCAACATTAGCCGCCTTTAGCTTAGCGGTGGTGACGTGAAGTCATGTGACCGTGCTGTAGTTCCTTTATAGCCCAACATTAGCCGCCTTTAGCTTAGCGGTGGAGACGTGAAGTCATGTGACCGTGCTGTAGTTCTTTTATAGCCCAACATTAGCTTTTTACTTCAGAAATCATAAAGTCGTGTTAATATGTGGAGATTACCCTGCTGAACTAAACCTGTAATTATCGTTTGTTTGCCACAGAGATTATTTTCAGCAATAATCCAAAATACAAGTCCCTTCCCTTTGGCCTAGAAAAATATGTCATGACTGTGTGAGTGACAAAAGTTTACTAGATTTAAGAGAATACATCACCCACAAAATGATCATTTGTATATCAATCACTCACCCTGTTTTACCTCAAATTCTTGAAAAACACTCTTGCATGACTCCAGATTGAATTATAGAATACAAATACTGAGAAACACAATCAAAGTCTAATTCATCAAGCCGTTTGCACACTACTTAAAAAACACATGACTTTTTTTTCTGAATTTTGCATGCAAAAGAGTGAGACTTCTTCAGAAGTGTTTTGAATATAGGTTTTATTGAAAATCACGTGTTTGTAAAGTAGTGAGCATATAACTGGATATATGAAACTTTGGTTAAACTCTAGACATGTTGTGTGTGAGAGTTTGTAAACTGATGTTGTTATGTAGTTTTGCTGCAGTCATTAATGTGGAACATGCCAGACAAACAACATTTTGTCCAAGAATTCACAGGCTAAGTTTTTTGTGGTTGTTTTTCTTGACAACTTAACCTGAATATGGAAATGTCTGCGTATGAAATCCTTCTACAAACACTAAAGAACATCGTGCAGATATTATTTGACTCCAGGATGTTTTCACAGATCACATGAAGATTATGTACACGGAGATGTCTCTACACCCAGACGAGTTTGACTACTTTCAGATCGGAGTGGAGTCGGATATAACCTTCTGTCTCAAGGAGCTCAGGGTAACAGGAGTGTGTGTGTGTGTGTGTGTGTGTGTGTGTGTGTGTGTGTGTGTGTGTGTGTGTGTGTGTGTGTGTGTGTGTGTGTGTGTGTGTGTGTGTGTGTGTGTGTGTGTGTGTGTGTGTGTGTGTGTGTGTGTGTGCAGAGAATGCATATATCTGTGTTTGACTGGTTTACGTAACTATTACTACTAAACTGTAAAAGGCTGGATTAAGTCGTGTAGTTTTATTTTTTAAGAGCTTAGTAAGAGTAAGAGACTACTGTAATATGTTGGCTTACAGCAACAAATTGGGCCGAACAAATATATTTAAAATCTTTTTTATTACAGATTAATTCGCTGACTAGCTTCTAGATTCACAGTTTGTTCTATTAAAAGTCCAAAAATAGTGAAAATGGTGATGGCTTTAAATGTCTTGTTTTTTAAATCCAAACCCCACAAATATTCACTTTAATAACATCGAACAGAGAGAAGCTGAACATCTCCACATTTTTCGAGGCTAAAAACAGCATTTTTTGCATAAACTTGTCTTTTAAAACAATTACTCCATTAACAAAATAGCGGTCGATATTTTTCCGCCCATCAAGCAATCAGTTCAGCCCTAACACATCGATCTTTTTATTAAAGTTACGAGTTGTAGAAGTTTGACTACCTTTAAAGCCAAGCAGGCATATGTTTGTATTAAAGGCCTCAAGTCAATACTAAACTCAGTATATTTTGAGTAACAGCAAAACATTGAAACCTAATAAAAAATAATCTAATTTCCAGAGTTTTGTGCTCAACACACCAAATGGATTTGTTACAGTTTAAATTGCTTTCTTCTGTATTGACTTAAAGGGAACAAAAGGAGCTGCTTGGCTGTTGTGAAATGTGGATAAACCCTCTCGTGTTAAGGTCCTTACACACGAGACGATTTTCAGCGTCGATAGATGTCGGGCCGTCGATGAGCGTCGTGTCGCCCTACTCAGATTGATGTGTACCGCACCGTCGTGTCTTTTCGGCCGACACCTTCCGCCGCCGATTCGACTTGTTGCCGTCGGCCAAATAAATCACTCTGATTGGCTGTTCAGCTAGCGAATCAGTGCATGAGAAGCGAATCGGAGGTGATGGACGTAAACAAACTATTAAGAAGGCAAATGTGAGATTTCTTTTAACTCCAGCTCTCGACTCAGGTTCGGGAAAGCCCCGTGAGCTTCTCGCTGTAGAGGGACAATGGAACGGACACGCTATTTGTTGTTTGTTTATATCACGCAGTCTGTTCTTCTTCTCTCGGTTGTCACGCAGTCTGTCTTCCAGTTGTTGCCTCTTTTGAATGACGAATACACACTACCGCCGCCTGCTGGTTAGGAGAGTTATTGCCACGCACGCATGCGCAGTTCGTACGTGCCTCTTGGCCGTCGGCTGAAGTCTTTGCGGTGTGTTCCAGTGCGACACATGGCCAAGACGCAGAGACGTGAGGCGACACAGTCGGGGGTCCGTCTGTGTCAGTTCTTTGGTGTCAGTTTGGGGTGTAAGAAGCTTAAGTGCAGGTAATCAGACTCAACCTGAATTAGCTCTTGTCCCCGATCAGTGAGACTCCCTGCTGCGAGTCGTCTTGCTCATTTCCGTTTTTGGAAAATTGGGTTTGGATGGATTAGAGACGGGATTTAAAGGTTAAATCGACCTCAATTCACTGGAGAATTTAGATGTTTCTTTCGCCTAGTCACTGTAAACATGCTAAGCTTTCAAAGTTTAAAAAAATCACACAACCAAACAAGCATGTCTCCGTTTTCTGACGTGAATTGTTCCTGTTATTTTTTCTACAGGGTTTACTGTCCTTTGCAGAGTCACACTGCCTTCCAGTGTCCGTCCACTTCGGTGCCGCAGGAAAGTGAGTGTGTGTAAAGTTTAAAGAGGCCCTATTATGCTTTCAGCCCTTCCCTGTGGTGTGTTATATAGGTTTCAGTGCATGTAAACGGTCTGCAAGGGCTAAAATCCCGGAACATCCTTTCCAGAACATAGAAATTAAATCACTATGTAACACTCGCGCTTCTATTGGCTAGCGCTCCAACACATTGTATGTGATAGATAGGGGCGGGACATCTCTAAGCTGGTTGACCAATCACAACAGAGCCGGCCAGCAATCAGAGCAGACTGAGAGGACTCTTTAAAGTAGAGACACTACATACTGATATACACCTGAACATCAGCAGGAGAGGACTCTTTAAAGTAGAGACACTACATACTGATATACACCTGGACATCAGCAGGAGAGGACTCTTTAAAGTAGAGACACTACATACTGATATACACCTGAACATCAGCAGGAGAGGACTCTTTAAAGTAGAGACACTACATACTGATATACACCTGAACATGAGCAGGAGAGGACTCTTTAAAGTAGAGACACTACATACTGATATACACCTGAACATCAGCAGGAGAGGACTCTTTAAAGTAGAGACACTACACACTGATATACACCTGAACATCAGCAGGAGAGGACTCTTTAAAGTAGAGACACTACATACTGATATACACCTGAACATCAGCAGGAGAGGACTCTTTAAAGTAGAGACACTACATACTGATATACACCTAACATCAGCAGGAGAGGACTCTTTAAAGTAGAGACACTACATACTGATATACACCTGAACATCAGCAGGAGAGGACTCTTTAAAGTAGAGACACTAAATACTGATATACACCTGAACATCAGCAGGAGAGGACTCTTTAAAGTAGAGACACTACATACTGATATACACCTGAACATCAGCAGGAGAGGACTCTTTAAAGTAGAGACACTACATACTGATATACACCTGAACATCAGCAGGAGAGGACTCTTTAAAGTAGAGACACTACTAACTGATATACACCTGAACATCAGCAGGAGAGGACTCTTTAAAGTAGAGACACTAAATACTGATATACACCTGAACATCAGCAGGAGAGGACTCTTTAAAGTAGAGACACTAAATACTGATATACACCTGAACATCAGCAGGAGAGGACTCTTTAAAGTAGAGACACTACATACTGATATACACCTGAACATCAGCAGGAGAGGACTCTTTAAAGTAGAGACACTACATACTGATATACACCTGCACATCAGCAGGAGAGGACTCTTTAAAGTAGAGACACTACATACTGATATACACCTGAACATCAGCAGGAGAGGACTCTTTAAAGTAGAGACACTACATACTGATATACACCTGAACATCAGCAGGAGAGGACTCTTTAAAGTAGAGACACTACATACTGATATACACCTGAACATCAGCAGGAGAGGACTCTTTAAAGTAGAGACACTACATACTGATATACACCTGAACATCAGCAGGAGAGGACTCTTTAAAGTAGAGACACTACATACTGATATACACCTGAACATCAGCAGGAGAGGACTCTTTAAAGTAGAGATACTACATACTGATATACACCTGAACATCAGCAGGAGAGGACTCTTTAAAGTAGAGATACTACATACTGATATACACCTGGACATCAGCAGGAGAGGACTCTTTAAAGTAGAGACACTACATACTGATATACACCTGAACATCAGCAGGAGAGGACTCTTTAAAGTAGAGATACTACATACTGATATACACCTGAACATCAGCAGGAGAGGACTCTTTAAAGTAGAGACACTACATACTGATATACACCTGAACATCAGCAGGAGAGGACTCTTTAAAGTAGAGATACTACATACTGATATACACCTGGACATCAGCAGGAGAGGACTCTTTAAAGTAGAGATACTACATACTGATATACACCTGAACATCAGCAGGAGAGGACTCTTTAAAGTAGAGACACTACATACTGATATACACCTGAACATCAGCAGGAGAGGACTCTTTAAAGTAGAGACACTACATACTGATATACACCTGAACATCAGCAGGAGAGGACTCTTTAAATACCAATGTCAGTCTTAAAGACTTTACAAACTGAGTGTTTTTTAAATATATAAAATATAACTGTACTTCTGTCCCCGGTGGATATCCCTCAGCGTGTGTTTGATGTCTGCAGGCCTGTGTGTTTCTCAGTGGAGGATATGATCCTGGAGGCCACCGTAGTTCTGTCCACTCTGATCGACTCTGAGAGCCGGGGCCCCTCTCAGCCTGCAGAGACCCTCACTGTGGCCCCCAGGACCCCCACCAGGTAACACTGAGCAGCCATCATCAATAACAATATATCACAATAACAAAGCTAAAACTCTGATCAGCTGACTGTACATATAAACAGATATGAGATAGTTAAAATATACTGTATATATATGTGTGCAGGTCAAACTGAAAGTGTAATGCAGCAGCTAAATGTCTTTAAACTATATTTTAAATGTCTTCAAAAAGCCCTTTTTCGACTGGCAATTTAAGCTGTTTTTCTGCACATCCTTAAAAAGTCTAATGTCTTAAGTGTCATTACTCTAAATGAAGGTCTTAATTGATTTTATGCAGGTGTGCAGATGTTGTACCTGAGTCTCCAGGTGAGACAGACTGCAGGAAAGCTGCTGTCCCTGCTGGGATGGAGCTGGTGGCCTCCAGTCAGGGCAGCCCCATCGCAGACTCTGCTCTGCTGCTGCTGCTCCACCATCTCTCTGAACCTCACTATCAGGAGAGGGCCAACTCCACTCCTGCCTCCTCGGTAACAAGAGCTTCCTGTTGCCAGAGATGGCAAAAGTACACACATCCTTTACTCAAGTAGAAGTACAGATACTCGTGTTCAAAAGTACTCTGGTGAAAGTAGAAGTACTGACTAAACTTCTTTACTCAAGTCAAAGTAAAGAGGCTTTGAAATGTACTTCAGTAAAAAGTACCCATAGCTAGCAGCTGTTTTAAAGAGTACCTGACCTCCCTTTATATTAATAGAACAATAATGTCATTGTTAGCTAATGAATGTTTCCATGCTGAACAACGGCAACATGACAACGTTTCCATTGGTCCCTCTTCTTTAGAGAAGACCAGGAAATGATGGATACACGGATCGTGTTCAAATCAATAGGCACGCAATGACTCTAAAGAATAATGATCACGCATCAAACACACATTCAGACTAAAGGAACCAGCTGTTTGGAGAATGAGAGAAGTAGAAAGTACAAGTATTTGAGTTCAACATGTAAGAAGTAGAAAGTATAGGTATTTGAGTTCAACATGTAAGAAGTAGAAAGTACAGGTATTTGAGTTCAACATGTAAGAAGTAGAAAGTATAGGTATTTGAGTTCAACATGTAAGAAGTAGAAAGTACAGGTATTTGAGTTCAACATGTAAGAAGTAGAAAGTATAGGTATTTGAGTTCAACATGTAAGAAGTAGAAAGTACAGGTATTTGAGTTCAACATGTAAGAAGTAGAAAGTACAGGTATTTGGGTTCAACATGTAAGAAGTAGAAAGTACAGGTATTTGAGTTCAACATGTAAGAAGTAGAAAGTACAGGTATTTGTATTCAACATGTAAGAAGTAGAAAGTACAGGTATTTGAGTTCAACATGTAAGAAGTAGAAAGTACAGGTATTTGAGTTCAACATGTAAGAAGTAGAAAGTACAGGTATTTGGGTTCAACATGTAAGAAGTAGAAAGTACAGGTATTTGTATTCAACATGTAAGAAGTAGAAAGTATAGGTATTTGAGTTCAACATGTAAGAAGTAGAAAGTACAGGTATTTGGGTTCAACATGTAAGAAGTAGAAAGTACAGGTATTTGAGTTCAACATGTAAGAAGTAGAAAGTACAGGTATTTGGGTTCAACATGTAAGAAGTAGAAAGTACAGGTATTTGTGTTCAACATGTAAGAAGTAGAAGTACAGGTATTTGAGTTCAACATGTGAGAAGTAGAAAGTACAGGTATTTGGGTTCAACATGTAAGAAGTAGAAAGTACAGGTATTTGGGTTCAACATGTAAGAAGTAGAAAGTACAGGTATTTGGGTTCAACATGTAAGAAGTAGAAAGTACAGGTATTTGGGTTCAACATGTAAGAAGTAGAAAGTACAGGTATTTGAGTTCAACATGTAAGAAGTAGAAAGTACAGGTATTTGAGTTCAACATGTAAGAAGTAGAAAGTACAGGTATTTGGGTTCAATATGTAAGAAGTAGAAAGTACAGGTATTTGGGTTCAACATGTAAGAAGTAGAAAGTACAGGTATTTGGGTTCAACATGTAAGAAGTAGAAAGTACAGGTATTTGGGTTCAACATGTAAGAAGTAGAAAGTACAGGTATTTGAGTTCAACATGTAAGAAGTAGAAAGTACAGGTATTTGTGTTCAACATGTAAGAAGTAGGAAGTACAGGTATTTATATTACATTACATTGCATTTAGCTGACGCTTTTATCCAAAGCGACTTACAATAAGTACATTCGACCAGGAAGACACAACCTTGAAGAAAACAGAATCATATAAGTACATCAGGTTTCATAGAGCCAAACATTTCAAGTGCTACTCAACTGGCTTTAGGTAAGCCAGTCCTTTATTAGTATAAAAGTGCTTCGTTAATAGTTCTATCGCTCGAAGTGGAGTCGAAAGAGATGAGTTTTCAGTTTGCGCCGGAAGATGTGCAAGCTATCTGCCGTCCTGATGTCAATGGGGAGCTCATTCCACCATCTTGGAGCCAGGACAGCAAACCCACGTGTTTTCGCCGATGGGAACTTGGGTCCCCCTCGCAGCGAGGGCGCAACGAGTCGTTTGGCTGATGCAGAGCGTAGTGCACGTGCTGGGGTGTACGGTTTAACCATGTCCTGGATGTAGGAAGGGCCAGATCCATTCGCAGCATGGTACGCAAGTACCAGTGTCTTGAAGTGGATTCTAGCAGTTACCGGAAGCCAGTGAAGGGAGCGGAGGAGCGGAGTGGTGTGGGAACATTTAGGAAGGTTGAAGACCAGACGAGCCGCTGCATTCTGGGTGAGCTGCAGAGGTCGGATGGCACATGCAGGTAGACCAGCCAGGAGGGAGTTGCTGTAGTCTAGGCGTGAGATGACGAGAGCCTGGACCAGAACCTGAGTCGCTTTCTGTGTCAGCTGGGGACGTATCTTCCTGATGTTGTAAAGCATGTATCTGCAGCAACGGGTTGTAGCAGCGATGTTTGCAGTGAAGGACAGGTTGTTATCTAGGGTCACACCCAGATTCCTTGCAGTCTGAGTCGGGGAAACAACTGAGGTGCCGATGTTGATTGTTAGGTCAAGAGTGGGACAATCTTTTCCCGGGAGGAAGAGCAGCTCAGTCTTGTCAAGGTTGAGCTTGAGGTGGTGAGCAGACATCCACTGAGAGATGTCAGCTAGACAAGCAGAGATGCGTGCAACGACCTGGGTCTCTGAGCGGGGAAAGGACAGAATTAATTGGGTGTCGTCAGCGTAGCAGTGGTAAGAAAAACCATGCGGGCTAATGACTGATCCGAGCGAGTTTGTGTACAGGGAGAAGAGGAGGGGACCAAGAACAGAGCCCTGAGGGACCCCCGTAGTTAATTGACAAGGGTCGGACTCAGACCCTCTCCAAGTCACCCTGTAGGTACGGTCTTTCAGGTATGAGGTGAGGAGGGAAAGTGCAGAGCCTGAAACTCCAAGTTTTTGGAGAGTGCGAAGGAGGATCTGATGATTCACCGTGTCGAATGCAGCAGACAGGTCCAACAGGATGATGACAGAGGAGAGGGATGCAGTTTTGGCAGTGTGCAGTTCCTCCGTGACAGCAATGAGAGCAGTTTCTGTGGAGTGACCTGCCTTGAAACCAGACTGGTGCGGATCCAGAAGGTTGTTCTGATGGAGATAGCAGGAGAGTTGTTTAAAGACAGCGCGTTCAAGTGATTTAGACAGGAACGGGAGGAGAGAGACAGGCCTGTAGTTTATAACATCTGACGGGTTGAGAGTGGGTTTCTTTAGGAGAGGGTTTACTCTTGCCTCCTTGAGACTGTTTGGAAAGTGACCAGAAGTTAGAGAAGTGTTGATGAAATGGGTGAGAAACGGTAGAATATCAGGAGCGATAGTCTGAAGGAGGTTTGAAGGGATAGGGTCCAGAGGACAGGTGGTAGGGCGGGCAGAGGTAATGAGGGTAAGAACCTCACTTGGAGAGAGAGGGGAAAAGGAGGTTAGTGTGTTGGTGGAAGGAGGGTCTGGTGACCCAGCGGTGAGTAAAGGTGAGTCAGAAAAAGAAGAGCGAATATCATCAACCTTTTTTTCAAAGTGGGTAACAAAGTCGCTTGACAGAAGTGAGGAGGGGGGAGGAGCTTTGGGAGGGTCCAAGAGGGTGGAGAAGATGGAAAATGTTTTTTTAGGATTGGTATAGGAAGATTGGATCTTATCTTGAAAGAAAGTGCTTTTTGCCTGAGAGATTGAAGCAGAGAAAGAGGAGAGGAGAGCCTGATAGGTTAGGAGGTCGTCACGGTGTTTGGATTTCCACCATTTCCGCTCTGCTGCCCTAAGGACGGTTCTATTAGCACGCAGTGCGTCATTTAGCCAGGGAGCAGGAGGGGACTGACGAGCCTGCCGAGATGTGAGAGGACAGAGAGAGTCCAGAGAGGATGAGAGAGTAGAGAGGAGAGTTTCTGCAGCAGAGTTTGGAGGCAGGAGTTGGAACGAATCAGAGGAAGGGAGGGCTGAGAGCACCGACGAGGCAAAGGTAGGGGGGGAGAGGGAGCGAAGGTTACGGCGGACAAGTGCAGGATGAGAAGAGATTAGTTTGTTATGTTTGGAAAGGGATAGAGAGAATGAAATGAAGAAGTGATCGGATGTGTGGAGCGGGTTTACAGAGAGGTTAGAAGTAGCGCAGTTCCTTGAGAATATGAGATCAAGGACATTGCCAGCTTTATGAGTCGGTGGGGACGGAGACAGTGAGAAAGCAAAGGCGGTTAACAGAGATGTTAGTTCGTCTATCTTCCCCGTCTGGAGGTTGAAGTCTCCGAGAAGTACAGCGGGAGGGCCAGTTTCAGGGATGTGTGAGAGGAGATGATCTAATTCCTCCAAGAAGTCCCCCAAGGCGCCTGGTGGACGGTAGAGAACAACAATGGTTAACTGTATAGGATGGGTTACTGTGACGGCATGGAACTCAAAGGTGGAAGGAGCGAAGTTAGGTAGCTTGAAGAGGGAAAAGCTCCATTTGGGAGAGAGCAGGAGACCAGTGCCACCTCCTCTGCCAGTGGGTCTGGGTGTATGGGAGAAGGAATATGCAGTGGAGAGAGCTGCTGGGGTGGATGTGTTGGATGGAGTAATCCAGGTCTCAGTGAGAGCAAGGAAATCCAGAGACTGCAGGGAGGCGTAGCCAGAGATGAAGTCAGCCTTAGGAACAGCTGACTGGCAGTTCCACAGGCCACCTGAAACTAGATGATGGATCTCAGTGGAGCACGTGGGATAGACGAGAGCAGGCCGGTTATATCGATTAGGAGATACACGGGGCCAGTGATAATTGCGAGAAGACACATGAACAGGAATGGAGAAAATACACATGATTATAGCATGAGGGGCTAAAGAACTAAAGAAAAGAGAAATAAGACACCAGCTCAATCAGAGTAGGATTTGCCTCCTCTTTGCCTCCCTCGTGACTCCCGCAGGACTCCAATGTCTTTGTCAGTCTTACTCCCGCAGGACTCCAATGTCTTTGTCAGTCTTCGGCTGTCTGACGCTGAAGCTGAAGCTCCAGGAAAGAGCTACCCAAAATGGACGCCTGATTGCTCAGTTCACACAGCTGTAGGGCCACGGCCCTCTAATTAGTTAACTATCTACAGCTGATGGGCGACAATAGACTGGCCGTGCCTATATTAATGCAGGCTTGAGTGCTGAGACCTGTGAAGCAGGTTTCGCCTGAGCAGATCTGAGATTTAAAATCTCTCAAACGCGATTTAGCCGTTTAAGCTACAATAACAATTTATACAGTCGAATAAATGAAACCGAGAAGTCTAATTAAACAAGAATATAACTTACAGTGGTTGCTGCGTCAATAGGTAATGTCGTCACCGGGTCCAGATACACATTTGTGTTCAACATGTAAGAAGTAGAAAGTACAGGTATTTGTGTTCAACATGTAAGAAGTAGAAAGTACAGGTATTTGGGTTCAACATGTGAGAAGTAGAAAGTACAGGTATTTGGGTTCAACATGTGAGAAGTAGAAAGTATAGGTATTTGGGTTCAACATGTAAGAAGTAGAAAGTACAGGTATTTGAGTTCAACATGTAAGAAGTAGAAAGTACAGGTATTTGAGTTCAACATGTAAGAAGTAGAAAGTACAGGTATTTGTGTTCAACATGTAAGAAGTAGAAAGTACAGGTATTTGAGTTCAACATGTAAGAAGTAGAAAGTACAGGTATTTGAGTTCAACATGTAAGAAGTAGAAAGTACAGGTATTTGAGTTCAACATGTGAGAAGTAGAAAGTACAGGTGTTTGTGTTCAACATGTAAGAAGTAGAAAGTACAGGTATTTGAGTTCAACATGTAAGAAGTAGAAAGTACAGGTATTTGAGTTCAACATGTAAGAAGTAGAAAGTACAGGTATTTGAGTTCAACATGTAAGAAGTAGAAAGTACAGGTATTTGAGTTCAACATGTAAGAAGTAGAAAGCACAGGTATTTATGTTCAACATGTAAGAAGTAGAAAGTACAGGTATTTGAGTTCAACATGTAAGAAGTAGAAAGTACAGGTATTTGAGTTCAACATGTAAGAAGTAGAAAGTACAGGTATTTGAGTTCAACATGTAAGAAGTAGAAAGCACAGGTATTTGTGTTCAACATGTAAGAAGTAGAAAGTACAGGTATTTGAGTTCAACATGTAAGAAGTAGAAAGTACAGGTATTTGTGTTCAACATGTAAGAAGTAGAAAGTACAGGTATTTGTGTTCAACATGTAAGAAGTAGAAAGTACAGGTATTTGTGTTCAAAATGTAAGAAGTTAAAGTAAAAAGTAATCAGAAAAGTAAGTAGTGGAGTAAAGTACTGATACCAGAAACATGTACTTAAGTACAGTAACAAAGTATTTGTACTCCACTACTTCCCACCTCTGCTCACATCGACCAATGGATTCTTGTTCTCCGTCCTTTAAGATGGACTTGACCCCTTAGTGATGAAATCTGAGTTTCAGCTCCTGTACTTTATCCCAAGCTGAAGGTCTTCCTGGTTGAACGTACTGAGCTTCATTAGGTTGAAACATTTCGCTGACATGTAATTTTATTTCTTTTCAGATTTGCTCGTTGCTGTTCAGGGCGAAGTCCCCAGAATCAGGGGAGGGACTTCCTGTCCTGGCGTGTTGCAGCGATGAAGAGGAGGCTGAGGAGGAAGATGTGATGATGATGAGGAGCCCGACACTCTGACAACAGTAGGACATCCAACCGGTGTTATTTATTTATTTAAAGATTTGTAAGCATGTTAGCTGAAGTGTTCAAACCGGTTTTAAACAGAGAAGAGTTTCCCGAAAAATGTTCTGTTGGAAATGTAGAATAATTATTTATAAAAGAATGAATAAATGTATTTATTGTTCACAATTTCAGTCTGTGAAATGTAGGGGATGAAAACGGTTCTATAAGCGTACTTGTAAAAAACTCACCTCTTCAATCTGGCTTTTAATGTGTGATTGTTTTTGTATTATTTGACTTTAACTATATATTTATTTGTTGTTCTTTTCACTATATCTGTAAAGCGTCTTTGAGCACCTGTAAAAGCGCTAACAAATTAAATCTATTATTATTATTATTATAATGCATTAAAATCTGCTTATTGAACAGTCTAATTATAGTTATAAGGCTTTAATACAATCACCATAATTCATCATCAAGCATTAAATAAGGTAAATATCATAATTCTTTATAATTGCTGGTCACCCACTGACATTGTTTTAGCCAGGATCACTTTATAATATCATCTTGATTGTTGGGACAGTGCATAATGCATTTAATACGATTATTAAGTGGTTATTCTATACGTTTTTGCAATAAATTCTGCATTGATTTAGTTATTTTTCGTACTTTTAAGCACATTTTTTACAGATATTGCATGGATTTAATTTAGTAAAACACGGTAACTAACGCAAACAAATTAACACTTAAGAGTATCTTATTATCATAATGCAATTAAAAAAGATAATATTGCAACTATGGGAATTATAAAAGACTGATTACCAGAGAGAAGTTATTTAGTGTTACGATAACTGATGTTTGCCCCTAATGTTAAAGTGATGCCAGAAAACTATATTTCTGTTCCTCAAAAAATATTCCAGAAATATGAAAATGGTGTCAAACTGACGGTTTTGTTTTTACGGAGCTTCGACGTGTTGTTTAAGAATTGATATATCTTATAAACAAGATCAGCGCCACAGAACGCATACTATATGTAACTCTAGAAAAACCCGAGTAATTGTTTTAAAGCAGAATCAATATTAACAAGCGCCTATCCCAATAATTATACGGTGCAATTAACTCTCTTAACGATACAATCAGCTGATCTTAATGCATTATAGACATGGGCGTTGTATTTCTACTGTTGGTTTGTCTGAAAACACATTGCCTCAGCCTGAAGATGCCACACCTGTCTGATGGTAGTGTGTCTCATGTCTGAGGAATTTGGACACGCACACACATGCACACACACACACATGGACACACGCACACACACGCACACACGCACACACACACACAGACACACACATGGACACACACACACACACGAACACACACACACACACGCACATGGACACACGCACACACACACGGACACACACATGGACACACACACACACACATGGACACACACACACACAGAGACACACAAACACAGAGAAACACACACACGGAGACACACACACAGAGGGAGACACACACACGGAGACAGAGATAAACACACAGAGACACGGAGATACACACACATACGGAAACACACACACACACACACACAGAGAAACACACAGAGGGAGACACACACGGAGACAGAGATAAACACATAGACACGGAGATACACATACGGAGACACACACACACACAGAGAGAAACACACACACGGAGACACATAAGGAGAAACACACACGGAGATACACACGGAAACACACACACACGGAGACACATAAGGAGACACACACACACAGAGACACACAAACACACACAGAGAAACACACACACGGAGACACATAAGGAGACCCACACACGGAGATACACACACACGGAGACACCTAAGGAGACACACACACGGAGACACATAAGGAGACACACACACGGAGATACACACACACGGAGACACAGAAGGAGACACACACACGGAGACACATACACACAGAGATACACACACACAGACACACCCAGAGACACACACACACTTCTTAAGTGTTTAACAACGGAGATCAGCGAGTTAAACCCTGGCAGCGGATCGTGTGATTATCATTCCATCATGGAGAAAGAAACAACCCTCGAGCATCAAGGAAAGAAGACAAAAAAACGTCCAACACAACGGCTTAATAAATACTATACTCTTTATTTAAATATTGTACAGATCTGAGAATGTTGTTTCTTTACAGAGCTTCATTGACCTGTACACGCAGAAATATATACAGACACGGGCTCCGTTTGTAACAAAGGGTCAGAGGCGTCAGGCAGGAAGAGCAGCTGAGATTGTCCTAAAATATATTTTTTTTAAAAGGTAAATACTTTTTCAACCTGGACGTTATTTCCCGTTTAATTTGGACATTTCTGTAATTGGTGCAGGTGTTAAAGAATGTATCGTAATCCTTTGCTCTGAAGTGGAAGCAGTACTCAGATCCTTGACTTAAGTAAACGTAGAAATACTTTTGTACGAAAATACTCATCATTACAATCGAGCTGAAAGAAGGTACTTAGTGTGCAGAATGGATCTTTTCAAAGCATTAAATACCTACATAATATTACATTATCCTGTTTATATCACTTACCTGTACATGAAAAGGTATTTTAATGTTGTTACTAAGGGTGCATTCACACCTAATAGTCCGCTCTCTGGTGCGCACCAGACCACAGTTTGTTAGGCCTACGTTGTTTCATTTTCCAGAAGGTTCGGTTTGCGTTCACACGGCAAAACTCAAACGGACTATAAACTTTAAACACAAGTCATGTGCTCGGAAATGCTGTTCAACCATTGGTCAGACATTAAGGGGGTAAAAACGCAAATCCCGGCAATTTCTACCGGAGCCTCCGCCATGGAGCATCGGCACTTTCGGCAGGTTGTTCTCATGCTGCTGTTAATCTGGAGATCAACAGACTCTAGCGGCCCGCGCATATGATTATATCATCAGACAACGTCCGTTAAAAAACATTATAACACATATTCTTTCACACAGTGACGTCACGAGCTACCCACAATGCAACGCGCGCCATATATATATATATATATAAATACGCCATTTTCCTGGAGGTGCAAATATAAACAGCTAGCTAACGTAGCCAGGCAGAGCGCACTAGGTTTTTTTTCTGAATTAACGACCGAAGAAATCGCTGCATGTCTTCGGATTACATCTCTGGACTTGAGGGGTGTGCTCTAGGTCGTTACCAGCGTAAACTAGAGCTGTGTGGGTTGTCGGATTGCCCTTACAGACTGCCTGCAGATGTATGGAAAAACGACCCTCGAAAGTGGCCTTCAGTCGATTTCTGGAAACACCAGGTGAATACCTCACTTGTCACAATAATATTATCATGCCATTGCATATATGTGGTATTTTAGAGTTGACTAGATATTAGGGGTGTAACGGTTCACAAACATTTCGGTTCGGTACGTACCTCGGTTTTTTGGTCACGGTTCGGTTCGGTACGTTTTCGGTACAGCAGAATTTTTTTTCACAGAACAAAACATATATATATATATATTTTTTATTATTATTAAACTGTGAATAATGTATTCACTCAAATAAATACAAAATATAATAAAATAAACATTAAGGTGCAGCATTTCGATGAACTGAAATAATCTGTATTTGAACTTTACTGTAGGCTACTAGTACTCACAAAACATAAACTATTAGTTTTGGGTTTTTAATTATTATTAAACTGTGAATATTCACTCAAATAAATACAAAATATAATAAAATAAACATTAAGGTGCAGCTTTTCGATGAACTGAAATAATCTGTATTTGAACTGTACTAGCACCTAAGCAGCCAGTTTGACATTAGGACTTGCTTGTCATTGTATTTTCATGTTTTTTTAAAGAAAAATGAACTTGTCCACATTGCTTGCCGAAAGGGCAGATCTGCTGGCACTAACAATGTCTCCTGCTGTGGAGAACACCCTCTCGCTAGGGACAGAGGTAGCAGATACAGCCAGGTAGCGCTTTGCTAACATGGCAACATAAGGATATTTGGCGTTTGTAATAGCTTTGGCTCGGTCTGAACTCTCTGCGAGTGGTGGAGGCTTAAATGCTAGTGGGAGTTGGATTTGCACTTCAGTCTTTTTTCTTTTGGTACCGGTGATATTCACGTTCGGGTGATGCCTTTTCAAGAGTGTGCAAGTTTGATGTATTGCCAGCCGCGTAACCAATTTTAGTTGAACAATGCCGACAAACAGCTTTGGTTCGGTCCACCTGTCTTTGTCCTTCATCCTTGTACGTAACTGCGAAACCAAAATGTTCCCAAACCGGAGACTTCAATGATGCTGGAGGATTTTCGAGCTCAACTTTATCTGCGTTCGCCATTAATTTTCGACAGTTCCTCAAATTACTGACTACATTTGACGCATCCCTCTGACCAGCTCTCATAGTATGCCTCTCATCCAATGAAATGACTTGCTCGCTCTATGACGCGTTGAACCCAATGTGACCAAATTACTCTGAATGCTGCGACGCAGCACCTGAGATTACTTCCAAAAAGTTGTTCACGTTCTCAATTTTTTACGTTTAACGTTATATTCGTTCGGTACACTTCGGTACACACCTGTACCGAACCGAAGGGCCCGTACCGAATAATTTCGGTACGGGTACGTGTACCGTTACACCCCTACTAGATATTGATTAAGGCAATAGACTATGATATTCAGTACAGGAAGCTTAGCAACACCTAGACGGTGTACGGCTAAACCCTCGGCCTGCTTGCACCTCGCGTAAAATGGCAGATACCGGAAGTACGGTGTCGCCCTCGGCCCAATACCCGTATGTGTGTGTGAAAGAATAATGAGAAGTTCTGCAGTAAGGAGGGGCGATTCACCGACGACAGGTGTTCTTACTTCTATGTAGCTCACGGAGAATTGTTACGTTACACGACACTGTTCAACACTTCATTCTGCTTCACTCTTTAACTAAACAACCGCGGGTGTCTTGAAAGACTCTTTCGCTAAAGATTTTTGAAGACATCCGCGTTCTTGTGACACGTAAATACTACGCTTGTGTCTGACAACATTATATAAAGGACACTACAGAGAAATTAAACTATTTCCTTTACCTTTTACTCTGTGTTTTAGTGTGTAAACGTGAGGGAGAGTTGTTACAGTTTGTTGTGTTGTGGTACAGAAAGTGAGATATTTAGATTTGACATATCATTGCCAAATATTACGTTTATTTTGCCGCAAACTTACAGAACGAGACATTTCCGAGTGAGACTAACACACCTTAATAAAGTGGAAGTAAAGAGAACATGTATCTTTCTCTGTAGGGTCGTGTTTACCATGTTGTCAGACACTAATAATATCAATTTAAGTGGAAGAAAAACAACTTTTACCGGACGTTCATCGAAGAAAACTGATTAAATTGCAGCCCTTACCCAATTACAAGTCACTTTGACATTGGCTCACAAGGTCCAGGTTGAAACATATTTAAAATACCCTTTAAAAAACCAACTTTTTTAATGTTCACTGCTCTTCCATGCCCATCAGCCCTCATCACAAAATGACACTTCAGTGGGAGTTTGTCACATAAAGTAGGAAACAGTCCGTTGAGCAGATTGTAAACAGAGATCCACAGGGAGGACTCTCTAAATGGCTTCATCACTATTCCTAAGCGCCTCCTGACTCTTATAGAGGAAGCAGAATTCAGGATGTGGTCTTATATGTGTTGTTAAAACAGCAGTGCATGATGGGTAATCTGTCTATGGCTACTTATAACAGTTTTAGGATTCCTGCGCCTGGCACAAAGTCGGGGCTTTTAGGATTTATGAGCGTGTGACGTGTCAACACACCTGATACAAGGCACATCTTTATAACGTTACACTAAATATGGGTTTCAATAAGAAGTATTTTAACTGTGGCAGAGTTAGATGGAGAGCCCACATCTACAGGAGAGGATACGGGCCACATGTAAACATTTCAAGAATTCAGAAAATAAAGTTTAAAGTATGAATTCTGAGTTTTAAGTCAGAGTTTGGGGGAATTAGGTCTAGACTCTCAGAATAAAATGTGAAATCTAAATTCCAAATTCTGGGTTTAAAGTCTGAATTTTAAAGAACAAAGTCTGGATTTTGAGTTTCAAGTCAAATTATGATTTTTAAGTCCGAGTTAAACGTCTGAAATTATAAAGTCAAAATAATGGGAATGAAGTCAGCATTTTGAGTTAAGGGTCCACATTTAAGAGATTCAGGATTCTGAGTTTTAAGTCTGAATTGAGTTTAAAGACCAAATTCTGAATTTAAACCCAGAAATGTGAGTTTCAAATCCAACTTCTAAGAATAAAGTGGCAATTTTTGAGTTGAATCGAGTCATAATTGAAGTTAAAAGTAAAAATTGTGAGTTTAAAGTCTAAAGTTGTGAGTTTAAAGTCTTAAGTTGTGAGTTTAAAGTCTAAAGTTGTGAGTTTAAAGTCTAAAGTTGTGAGTTTAAAGTCTAAAGTTGTGAGTTTAAAGTCTAAAGTTGTGAGTTTAAAGTCTAAAAGTTGTGAGTTTAAAGTCTATGGTTGTGAGTTTAAAGTCTAAAGTTGTGAGTTTAAAGTCTAAAGTTGTGAGTTTAAAGTCTAAAGTTGTGAGTTTAAAGTCTTAAGTTGTGAGTTTAAAGTCTAAAGTTGTGAGTTTAAAGTCTTAAGTTGTGAGTTTAAAGTCTTAAGTTGTGAGTTTAAAGTCTGGTTGTGAGTTTAAAGTCTATGGTTGTGAGTTTAAAGTCTAAAGTTGAGTTTAAAGTCTTAAGTTGTGAATTTAAAATCTAAAGTTGTGAGTTTAAAATCTTAAGTTGTGAGTTTAAAGTCTAAAGTTGAGAGTTTAAAGTCTAAAGTTGTGAGTTTAAAGTCTAAAGTTGAGAGTTTAAAGTTGTGAATTTAAAATCTTAAGTTGTGAGTTTAAAGTCTAAAGTTGAGTTTAAAATCTTAAGTTGTGAATTTAAAGTCTAAAGTTGTGAATTTAAAGTCTAAAGTTGTGAATTTAAAGCCCTGAAGTTATGAAAAGAAAGTTCAATGTTTGAATTTCGGTAAAAAGTCAGAATTCCGAACTTCAAAAGTCTAAATTCTCAAAGAAACACATTTTCACATGTGGCTCTAATGCTCCTCTGTATACATCTATGAAACACACAAAGACCAATCCTCACATGAAACCTTCCCGATGTGCCGTCAGAGCTCTACAGAAGGAGGGAGAGAACAAGAACGTTTCTAAATCTAAATTAAATCCCACTGAACAGAGAATACAAAAAGAAACGACCAGAGTTTTTCCGATATGCTTCTCAAGCTTTGTGCGTTTCTACGGCCAAATCCAGCCCAGTGGAAACATCCTCAGAAACCCAGAAACCCAGACTCCAGCAGCAGCCGTGACTTTAAAGGTTGGGCGTCAGACTTTCTGAATATAAAATCCTCGTTTTAAATATGAAGTAACAAAATGTGTGCAATCCCAGCTCGTCTTGTTGGATAGAAACCTACCACAGATGCAGAGATGTCTTTTTTGTATATCTTACGAAACATCCCAGAACAGCACACATCCTACTTTTAAACATTCGCCTACCCCTTGGTCTCTTCCCAGCTGGACGTGCCTTGAACACCTCCATAGGGAGGCGCCCAGGTGGCATCCTAACTAGGTGCCCGAACCACCTCAACTGGCTCCTTTTGACGCAAAGGAGGAGCGGCTCAACTCCGAGTCCCTCCCTGATGACCGAACTTCTCACCTTATCCCTAAGGGAGACACCAGCCACCCTGCGGAGAAAACCCATCTTGGCCGCTTGTATCCGCGATCTCGTTCTTTCGGTCATGACCCATCCTTCATGACCATAGGTGAGGGTAGGAACGAAAATGGCCCGGTAGACAGAGAGCTTTGCCTTCTGGCTCAGCTCCCTTTTCGTCACAACGGTGCGGTAAAGCGACTGCAGTACCGCTCCCCCGATTCTCCGGCCCATCTTACGCTCCATTGTTCCCTCACTCGAGAACAAGACCCCGAGATACTTGAACTCCTTTACTTGGGGTAAGGACTCATTCCCTACTTGGAGTGGACAGTCCATCGGTTTCCTGCTGAGAACCATGGCCTCAGATTTGGAGGTGCTGATCCTCATCCCAGCCGCTTCACACTCGGTTGCGAACCGAATCGGTTTATCTGTTGTGTTGCATTAATTTTGTCCTGTAAAAATTATGTTTTTATTCTAGTTACTAAGGCTGTGCAATTAATCGTATTTTAATCTCGATTTTGGCTTGCAACGATTACAAAAACAACGTAATCGAAATAAAACAATTATTATTTTTATAAAAATTAAATAAATAATGTACTTATTTCTTTTTCAAATTCTTTTTTTTTATTGGTTCTTCAGTTGAATTATACTTAAAGTTCAGGGTAATCAACTGTTAAAAACTGTTCATATATATATTTTTCAATAAATGTATGTAAGTGGAAGTAAATGGATAATCATGTTTTTATAATTTTAAAATCAATTATTGACCAAAATAATCGTGATTATGATTTTTGCCATAATCGCACAGCCCTACTAGGTACACGTCTTTTTGACAAATAAAAATGGGAGAACATGACGGCTGTGAGCGTGAATTACACCGTCTTGAGACATGCAGTTTGTAAGATGTGTTTCTTTCGTGAAATGCAACGTGAATATTAGAGATACCATGTCCTCTGTTATCCAGTGCTATGCAGCAGAGAGGGTAAGATTATGTTTGTTACATTTATAGTTAGTTTTTACCAGATAAAATGGCTTTAAAAGCATTTGTTATCCAAAAATGAGGAGGGAAATAATATCTTTCCAGTAGATGAAGACTGTTGGTTTAAAGTTTATGTTGTTGGCAGTCAAAGATTATGAAGGGCTGTTTCATGACTAAGGTGTTGTTGTTTCCCTGGCACAAAAACATTGATTTAGCGCAGAATTTCCCAATCGGTGCATCCCTTCCTGACGCTGCCGTCTCCTGTGCAGATCTCTACTGACATGGAGCACCTTTAACAGTCGAGCACCGTCCGTCTGCCCCTCCTCCCAACAAACCTCCATCAGACACCGTTTATCCTCGTCTGTTGATCCTCAGGAAAAGGACTACACTCAGCAGCCGGTCCCAGTGTCTGTCCTCTGCCCCCCCCCCCCCCTCCTCTGTTATCCAGCCTCTCTCCGGAGAAGAGTCTTTTTTGGGGGGTCAGCTGGAGAGCCAGTGCATGCTGGGAAGAATCTGTCCTTCATCCTGGCCAGCAGGAATCAAAGCAGTCCATCAGCTGCAGACTCTAGTCGGTGTATTCAGCCACTATAGAGAGCAGCACTGTGATGTCATCAGGCTTCCCCCCTGCACACAAACACATCTGTTAGGGTGTTTGGAGAAAACATGTATGTACAATAGAGTGGTGGAGGGATGTCTTATTTCTGTAGCGGACCCTGAAGGCAGCATCTGACTGGTGCCCTCTACAAAAAGCTAATTTGATTTCTCTATTTGATTTTGGTTTATTTCAGATAATAATCTCGACGTTTATGATACTTATATGTTTTCATCAGCAGGATAATCTCCACATTTTAACACAACTTAGAATTTTTTAAGTTAAAAGCTAATGTTGGGCTATAAAGGAACTACAGTACCTTCACATGACTTCACGTCACCACCCCTAAGCTAAAGGAGGCTAATGTTGGGCTATAAAGGAACTACAGCACGGTCACATGACTTCATGTCATCACCGCTAAGCTAAATGCGGCTAATGTTGGGCTATAAAGGAACTACAGCACGGTCACATGACTTCACGTCACCACCGCTAAGCTAAATGCGGCTAATGTTGGGCTATAAAGGAACTACAGCACGGTCACATGACTTCACGTCACCACCGCTAAGCTAAAGGCGGCTAATGTTGGGCTATAAAGGAACTACAGCACGGTCACATGACTTCATGTCATCACCGCTAAGCTAAATGCGGCTAATGTTGGGCTATAAAGGAACTACAGCACGGTCACATGACTTCACGTCACCACCGCTAAGCTAAAGGCGGCTAATGTTGGGCTATAAAGGAACTACAGCACGGTCACATGACTTCACGTCACCACCGCTAAGCTAAAGGCAGCTAATGTTGGGCTATAAAGGAACTACAGCACGGTCACATGACTTCACGTCACCACCGCTAAGCTAAAGGCAGCTAATGTTGGGCTATAAAGGAACTACAGCACGGTCACATGACTTCACGTCACCACCGTTAAGCTAAAGGCGGCTAATGTTGGGCTATAAAGGAACTACAGCACGGTCACATGACTTCACGTCACCACCACTAAGCTAAATGCGGCTAATGTTGGGCTATAAAGGAACTACAGCACGGTCACATGACTTCACGTCACCACCGCTAAGCTAAAGGTGGCTAATGTTGGGCTATAAAGGAACTACAGCACGGTCACATGACTTCAAGTCATCACCGCTAAGCTAAATGCGGCTAATGTTGGGCTATAAAGGAACTACAGCACGGTTACATGACTTCACGTCACCACCGCTAAGCTAAAGGCGGCTAATGTTGGGCTATAAAGGAACTACAGCACGGTCACATGACTTCACGTCACCACCGCTAAGCTAAAGGCAGCTAATGTTGGGCTATAAAGGAACTACAGCACGGTCACATGACTTCACGTCACCACCGCTAAGCTAAAGGCGGCTAATATTGGGCGTGATGACGTTTAGTCGTCTCATTTAGACACTTGTTAACAACCGCAGTATTTCAATTCACCCGTGGGGTATTTACTGACATATTTTATATCGTAGGAGAAAACATGTGTTGACCACAGACCTTATTTCAGGATAACAACCAATGACACATTCAGAAAACCATTGACCTACAGACCAGGGGACAGAATATGCTAAAATGCTGACTGCAGAACCTACGAGTGTTGTTTATATTACAGCTGTCGCACGTACCTCTCACGTTGAGGCCGTTGTCGCAGGCGAACTGAGCGAAAGGCGACATGTAGTTTGGATCGTACGCCAGGACGTGGGCCTGCTCGGCGATGCTGCGCGCCGTCTGCTGAACGCTCTCTATGTTCGTGTTCTGAGGAGCAGAAACACACAGGCATGAAGATCCATCATTCAATTCAAGATTCAAAGCTTTATTGTCATGTGCACAGAAGCTACAGTGTAAATATGGCAATGAAAAACTGAAGTCACAGGCTCCTCCAACAGAGCAACGTGAATATATGTAATTCCTACAATGTTTATATATTATAGTGTAAAATATGACTAATACCAATGTAGATGTATGGCTTTCGTAACTGTGACACAACCTAACAAAAGGTCAAGTGAAAGTAAGTACGAATTTTCCTCGTAAAAGTAAATATACTTAGTGACTGTACTCTACTACTAAACAATATTTATATATACCTACACGAGTAACATATGACTTTTGTCAAACATTTCTGGTTCAACAACAACCTTAAATCCTGCATATACATGTATATAAATAAACCCACATGCTTAAACCCATCTGTAAATGACTACACACGTCATATTTCTGATTCCACATCCACCTTTCCCCCCGTTGTCCTCACCTTGAGTTTCTTGAGCTCCTGCAGGATCATGTAGTCGGGCATGTTGTCGAAGAGGCCGTCGCTCGCCGTGAGGATGATGTCTCCGAGCTGCACGTCGAACGAAGAGCTGTCTGCCGCCTCCGGACTACACACACACAACACACCATGTATACATCACTTCAGGGGACATTACATTGACTTACATGCATTTCCTGGAGACTTATCCTAACCTTAACCATAACACGCCTAACCCTAAAATTAATGATTCCCCTTATGGGGACCTCCATTTTGTCCCCATAAGGGAGGCGAGTCCCCACACGTGACTCTGCAAACAGATTTCGGTCCCCACAAGGATGGTAATGCTAGGACACACACACCTTTTGCTACATCGCTTAAACACGCTTCCTTCTGGATATGGAAAGGATTCTCTGAAATAAAAATAAATGTGGGAAAATATGGGGCCCTTTTTTCAAATGTGTTAAGAGGATAAAGTTCCCAATCATTCCCGATTAAACTTTTGCATTTTGGAGGGGTCCCAACCAAAGGTCGCGTTAACCGAATATATTCCGTCTATGACGGAATTCTTTTGACAATGACAGAAAAATCTGAAAGCAGTCCGTCATTTTGACGGATTAGAACAAACTCAGAACAGGGCCAAAGTTTCCCCGCAGCAGGGCTCCGGTGTTATGCCCTTATGTCGTTTCCAGACCTAACTATGCCGTACAAATCATTGAAATGTCTGGGAGTTTATGCTTTACGCTGTGGCGCGCTCCCGCGAGGTGCAGTGGGCGTGCACAACACGGCATAACACCTAAACTAACATTAGGCGCTTTCACACCGGAGTACTTTTCCCAGTATAGTTTCTAAAATTTGCGTTCACACCAAAAAAATCCGGAACTAGAATTTAGTTCATGAACCTTTCCACCCCCTTTTCCGTCCCTGCTAGAGAGCAGGTACTTTCGTGGGAGAAAAAGGTTCCCATTTCTGATTGGCTGGGCGGATTGCAAACCACGCCCCGTAAAACTCCCAAAACGTTTTGTGAAGCCGCCATTTTATTTACCTTGCATTAGCATTAGCATTAGCCCAGCGCCCAAACGCAGAGAGACTAACTTATGGCAACACACAAGAAAACATGGGAGCGGTGGAGATGTCGGCGTTCTGGCGATTTACTCGGAAGGCACTCGAGGTAATTCCACCCATCCAGCTCACAGGCTGTGAAACTAAGTGCGTCAAAGCGAGGTTGTGACCGCATTAATTCCTCCCGTCTAAGCTTCTCTCTCCTGTTAAACCTGACCCGTCTGACCTGATACATCCATCTGAACCTCTGACCGGCTTCTCCTCCAGGAATAATCACACATTACTCTGCCGCTGGGAACATCTAAAGAACGCCAAAACGGCTCCTGATATTTCACCCTAATTACAGAGAACGTGTGCGGGACAAATGAAAGGAATCACCACATGGAGTTGATTTGGTCGCAGAGTCAGTGTCAATATCAGTTCCACGAAGATGTTCTAACCCCCCTCCCATAAATGTTATTAATGACTGTCTGCATCAGGATATATATCTGATCCCTCAGGAACAGCCTGTCCTTGGACGACTGTCTCATTCCTGTAGCTACATGCATTGCAGATGCATTATGGGTATATTTAAAGCGGAACTATCAGATAACCCTTCTCCGATGTGCTGCATCACGTCGTTTAAAGAGGTTTTATAGTGTGTTCTATAGGTTCTAGTGCATGTAAATGGCCTGCAGAGGCTAAAATCCCTGTGTTCTCTCACACACATAATGAAAAATGTCCGTCCCAATTCCTCAAAGTAACTTGTTTCTTCAGTCTAATACCCAAAGATATTTATTTAAATGTGACATAAAAAAGAAAAAGTGGAAATCCTGTCATTTGAGAGGCTGAAAATCGCAATTTCTGAAATCTTAGCATTAAAATGTTTATAAATGATTAAAGGATTATCATCAAAATACTTCTGGATAAATCTTAATAATCAATACGATTATTAATTTTAGCAGCCGACTTCTTTTAGACTAAACAGCTGCATCATTAATAAAGAAACTAAAGCAATACTGTCTGTTGATTGTATGTATAGAGGATATACATATTTATACATATTTGTATATTTGTATTCGGGATTGTTGGAAACGTTATTTCGATCTCTGTCTGTACAAACACACGGAAAAATTGACATTAAAGTTGACTTTTTGACTTTGAACTATGTAAAGAATTGTTAGTTGTAGACTTAATCAAGACGCATCAAATCTTTTATTTAACTTTCGAGGAACACTTTTCTTCTTCTCTGCAGAGGAGGAATGTTGTTTGTGCGTTTCTGTTTCGACCCTTGCTCTCTTTTCAATGTGCTGCTCACTTAGTCCTTCAGGATTGAAAGATTAATCTGCTGTTAATCACTGAGGGGGTAAACCCTTCTTGATAATAACACACTCATTCTGCGCATGCACTTCAGGTTCCTCTTGTGCTTGTGATGCTTTTAAGAGGCTCATAATAATCTTGTGTGAGCAGTCAGTCTGAGTGAAGGCGTCTGAGCGGCTGCCTGTGAACTCAGCGGTTTGTCGCTCTCAGACTTTGACCGGGTTTAGGGACGAGAAGCTTGGCAGACGTCCATCGCTCAGCCTGAAAGCGTCCTGACGTCTGCAGAGCTGCACGTGGCTACACCACAACACTGCAGACATGCACAGAGACACACCAGGGACAAAGTGTCCTGCCGCTGATGTGTCTCTTGCACTATTAGTATGTTGCATTGTTGGGGCTTTCATTGCCAAACCCTACAGTGTAGCGGTTTTGAATACATCACAATAAAGCCTTTATATCTTGATACCAGAATGAAGAAGTTAGTACCAATGATAGGGACATTCCACGACTCTCGATACCAGTTAATGCTCCATGGAAATTGCAATAAAGACTTGAGCAATTTTCAGGGAGCACAATATTGGTAAAAAAGCTAAAATGTGTTCAAATATTGTTTTGAATAATCAGGTATAGTATAGCTGCGGATAAATGTTGGCCTACAAACAAACTTAACTGCTTCACAGAAGAAAGTTCAATACATATATGTAAAAATCCATCCTATTGATTTATCCTTCCATCAAATGAAGTAATCTGATCCCCACGAGGTGTATTCAGGTCGGTGTGTGTGTGTGAGCAGGTGTGTGTGTGTTGGTGTCTCACCTGTCGCTGAGCACGGCCCCCTCGGCTCCCGGGGGGGCGATGGACAGCTGGAAGGGCGTGTTGAAGTAGTGCTGCTGCTCGTCGGAGCGATGCACCACCTCCCCCCCCCGCACCACCAGGAACCCAGAGTCCCCGAGGTTAGCCGTGTGCAGACGGTGGCTCCGCCGGTCCAGAACCACGATGCAGGCCGTGCTGCTGCCTGCACACACACACACACACACACTAGCTGGCTCTAGACGAATGCAAAAGCTAAACCACAGAACATTTGCTAAAAACTTAAATCATTTACATTTGGTGTTGGAGAACTTTTTGTGTGTTATATTTTCATGTTGGCTTCAACCATGTCGAGTTGCAAGTATGTTGACATTTAGGTGGGAGATACGACACTATTACAGGAGAGCAACCAAAAGCACACACCTAGACAACATCTATGACGTATATGTGGTCATTGCTTGAAATGTTACTGCAGAAGTGTTATACTTTGAATACGTTTCTCTTCAGTGCCTGATGGAAACAAAGCTGCAACCATCCTTTAAACTTGATGTGTTACTAGTCTCCCCATTAGCACGAGCATATCAGAGTTTTTAACACTTTAAACCTCGTTTCAGTTGATTAGAATGTTGCATAGAGAAAACCCTTCTAATACCTTCCTGAGTGTGTCACATGTAAGTCTTTCCCTCCAAACTTCCTACAGCTACATATCTTAGCAGCTTTCTCTCCGTTTATGGAAACAAACCCCGCTAAAGGTCTGGAGCCTGAATACACAAACTTGACATACCACAATCAGCGTCAAGTTGTGCTACAGAGCAGAACCAGCAGCGGGCCATGGACATGGAGCAGCCACACCCTGCTGGTGATTCATCCTCTGAACCAAAACACGCTCTGGGATCAACCTTGAAGCCCCTCACGCTCGGTGACTCACTCTCTCCCTTTCTCTCTGCAGCAGCACAATAACTCTGCGGTGCTCGAGCTGCACAACACAGAGCTGTTCCCCGGCTGCACATGTGATGACGGGCTGGAAAAGTACTGACACTCGCAGAGGAAGAAACATTGATCCAGCGAGTGTTGGTGCTTTGTTGTGAGGGAGGTTAGTGCTCCGAGGGGCAGGTCGGGACTTCTTAATAGGATCGGGATGTTCTGACTCACGATGTAAGAATCCGTGTCCAGCCGACACTGAACTTAAACAGGCGGGACAAACAAGTTAACCCTGAACAGAGAGCTCTGACTCAAACCACAGCGTGGAACATCTCTCTCAGAATGGGCTGCACAGCAGAGGGACTGCATGGACGTTAGAGAGCTTTGGTTTTACAGCGGGGTTGTGTGAGGATACTTATGCCTGCAGGAGATTACAGTTAGAAGATACTGCATGGATGCAAAAGCTTTTATTTGTTCTGTCTGTCTCCAAACTAGGGGGCGTAACTATTGATAAGTCACCTCACATGACCCCACTTCTGAACACACTAAATACCCTGAGAGGTGAGAGGAGTGCCAGATCCTGCTGACTGAATTTAATACAAATAGAAAGGAAGGAGACCTCGTTTATAAAACCATAGACGTCTATTCAAATCAACAATAATGTCTCTGCTGTACTCATATCCTAATTACATTATTTGGAGTGTCCTGCCTTCTTTAATGTGTATTATGAACAGGTGGAGGAGACTCTCGTTGCTCACCCAGCAGCGGCACTTTGTTCTGCAGCAGCTCATAGTAGCTGCTGGTGAGGACCCCCACCGGGTTACTGGGGACGAAGCGGCCCTCCTTCACCAGCCGCTCACACGTCTTCATCAGCGTCCCCGAGAACTGAGACGGGTCCACTCCATAGTCCCGCCAGCCGCCCACTCCATCTGCCACACCTGCCGGGATACACAAGGGTTTCGAATGATTAAGGTTAAGACGTTCACCAACACGACGAAAGGACAGGCGTACATGAACAGGGAAGATTCTGTGAGTAGCTTTTTAATATGACGAACCATTTGAAATGCAAGTACATACAAAAGTAAAGAGGTTTAATTGTCCAAGTTGCAGTTGAAACAGATACGTTTTCAGTCTGCACGTTTTATTTTTGATTAATCGGTTGCTTGGTTACTTGATTTATCTCCGAGTTGTGTGATGGGTCTATACTAATGTCAGAAATCGTATAAAAGCCCAAGATGGCTTTCTGAAAATGTCCTATTTTCTAGAAAGCCTAAAAGAACAATTGAAATGAACAAAGGAGTAAGGAAACTAGAACATATTGACATTTGAGAAGCTGGGATGACAACAGGTTGACCTTTTTCCTTTAAAAGAAAATACGTAAACCAATGATTGATGCTTTTAAAATGACAGAAGAGTTTGTCAACAGGTCACGTGACGCCAAGCCAAATAACAATCATCCTTCACATATCTCAAGACTTGTTCTACGAGTAAGATATCTTGGGAGGAACAGTGACATGCAGCTGCAGACACAACAACAATGGCCACTTTCACCAAGACACAGAAAGGACATCAAGTACAGGACAAAGACGCACGTTAAGGAGCTGAAGGAAATGTCCCAGAACAAAGCGTGTGACCAATTCAACTAACAAGTAGCAAGAGTCCTTTCAAAGAATTGAACATAAGTACATGTTCTATCTCCTGTAGTTCAGTGCACTCTAACCCTGCTGATAACACATAACCTCTCTGATTCCCAAATGCACAGAAACTCTTTCTATAGAAGCGTGGTCTGTTTTGCAGGATAATGTGAGCCCTAGTCTCGTTCCCCTGGGAGCACATGGTCTGCCGGAAGGTTTCCCTAGAGAGGGAGCGTCAGTGTCGTTCCTCCCAGGACTGAGTGACCATACAAGGCTGGATCTCTGGGTCTCAGCCGGAGCCAGAACTCAGACACAGACACACAACTCTGCCACTGATGGACCTACACAAAATGCACTGGACTGTCCAAAGGATGTCTCGATTTCTACTTGTGCATCTTCTTGATTGACGCATCAACACAGATATGACGGTTTTAAATGTGTGCTAAAGAGTCGTTTAATCAACCCTGAACTGAGCAGATTTTTAAAGCCAGCATTTATTTTGATTACATGTCACTTGTTAGACGCTGTTATCCAAAGCGACTTACATACTCAACACTGTGGACAATCCCCACAGGAACAATTTGGGGTGAAGGGTCTCAGGGACACAACGACATGCTGACTGCAGTGGGGTTTGAACCCCTGATCCCAACACCAACGCACTACCCACTGCGCCACACGCCTCCATGTGAGGAATGGATGGACCAGGGCATGGTTAGGCAATACTGAACTACATGTAAATAAACTATTAGATTCAGGATATTCTGCAGCAGTAGCTTGTTGGTGGTTCAACTGCATCGTGATTCAAGTAGAAACACATTGTTGGTGAAGTTGGGTGCTGAAGCCATACAAGGATAGGAATGTTTGTTTGCCAGCTAAATTGAGTTTGACACAACAGCTATAAAAGGCAGTGCTGGAAAGTACACTCAAGTACTGACCTGAGTATTCACATGTTATGCAAGACGAAAAAATGTAGACCCATCTTCACTAGCGGCAACAAGAAGCAATGTAAACATAAACGCATCAATATGTCCAATAGTATAAACATATATGATTCGGCTTCTTGAGTTCTTTTTCTGCCCTTAAGGCATATCTTGATGCAAATACGTCTATGTAGTGTTACTTAGATTCAATTATGAATGCATTGATTTTTCCAGCCTGTCAAATATTCAGATGTCCTGTTTTCCTGTTTTATATCAAATTGAAGTGAATATTTGTGGGTTTTGGACCGAAAACACGACTTTTAAAGACTTTGGAAACTGAGATGGATTTTTTTTTTCATTTAAAACATTTTTAAGGCCAAACCATGAATCGAGAAATAGTCCATAGATGAATCACTAAGGAAACCAAACAGAGTTCTTTCACATAATCAAACAGTGCATGTTAGGCACACTGATGAAATACTATGGCTTCAAAGCATCTGTGATTACCTCAAATGCATGAAAAGCTTCCCAGTGCAAAACGATGTACTGCATGATTTACAAATACTTGTCATTGAGTATTATTACACTGGTGGTATATGAATACTTTTGGCATCTGCTTTGAAAAAGTATTATTGTGTTCCGACTAGTGTTGCACGGTGTACCGATACTTGAAAGGTACCGCGATACCCTGCCGTTAAAAACGTTACGATTCCTCCGTTTCATTAGTATCGGTACTTAAGAATGACGGGGAAAAGTACTCCGGTGAGAAAGCGCTGTTTTAATAAGAGCCGTGTGTTCAGCGCTCTGCTTCCACTCCCTGCAGCCGTGCCTGCAGTCCCTCCCCTCTCAAGCACGCTCTAAGTCCCTCCCCCTCAAGCACGCTCTACGTCCCTCCCGCCTCAAGCACGCTCTAAGTCCCTCCCCTCTCAAGCACGCTCTCAGTCCCCCCCCTCTCAAGCACGCTCTAAGTCCCTCCCCTCTCAAGCACGCTCTAAGTCCCTCCCCTCTCAAGCACGCTCTAAGTCCCTCCCCTCTCAAGCACGCTCTAAGTCCCTCCCCTCTCAAGCACGCTCTAAGTCCCTCCCCTCTCAAGCACGCTCTAAGTCCCTCCCCTCTCAAGCACGCTCTAAGTCCCTCCCCTCTCAAGCACGCTCTAAGTCCCTCCCCTCTCAAGCACGCTCTAAGTCCCTCCCCTCTCAAGCACGCTCTAAGTCCTCCCCTCTCAAGCACGCTCTAAGTCCCTCCCCTCTCAAGCACGCTCTAAGTCCCTCCCCTCTCAAGCACGCTAAGTCCCCCCTCTCTCAAGCACGCTCTAAGTCCCTCCCTCTCAAGCACGCTCTAAGTCCCTCCCCCCTGCAGCCGTGCCTGCAGTCCCTCCCCTCTCAAGCACGCTCTAAGTCCCTCCCCCTCAAGCACGCTCTAAGTCCCACTCCTCTCAAGCACGCTCTAAGTCCCTCCCCTCTCAAGCACGCTCTAAGTCCCTCCCCTCTCAAGCACGCTCTAAGTCCCTCCCCTCTCAAGCACGCCCTAAGTCCCTCCCCTCTCAAGCACGCTCTAAGTCCCTCCCCTCTCAAGCACGCTCTAAGTCCCTCCCCTCTCAAGCACGCTCTAAGTCCCTCCCCTCTCAAGCACGCTCTAAGTCCCTCCCCTCTCAAGCACGCTCTAAGTCCCTCCCCTCTCAAGCACGCTCTAAGTCCCTCCCCTCTCAAGCACGCTCTAAGTCCCTCCCCTCTCAAGCACGCTCCAAGTCCTCCCCTCTCAAGCACGCTCTAAGTCCCTCCCCTCTCAAGCACGCTCTAAGTCCCTCCCCTCTCAAGCACGCTAAGTCCCCCCTCTCTCAAGCACGCTCTAAGTCCCTCCCTCTCACGCACGCTCTAAGTCCCTCCCCTCTCAAGCACGCTCTAAGTCCCTCCCCTCTCAAGCACGCTCTAAGTCCCTCCCCTCTCAAGCACGCTCTAAGTCCCTCCCCTCCAAGCACGCTCTAAGTCCTCCCTCTCAAGCACGCTCTAAGTCCCTCCCCTTCTCAAGCACGCTCTAAGTCCCTCCCTCTCAAGCACGCTCTAAGTCCCTCCCCTCTCAAGCACGCTCTAAGTCCTCCCCTCTCAAGCACGCTCTAAGTCCCCCCCCTCTCAAGCACGCTCTAAGTCCCTCCCTCTCAAGCACGCTCTAAGTCCCTCCCCTCTCAAGCACGCTCTAAGTCCCTCCCCTCTCAAGCACGCTCTAAGTCCTCCCCTCTCAAGCACGCTCTAAGTCCCCCCCTCTCAACACGCTCTAAGTCTCCTCCCTCTCAAGCACCCTCTCAAGTCCCTCCCCTCTCAAGCACGCTCTAAGTCCCTCCCCTCTCAACACGCTCTAAGTCCCTCCCCTCTCAAGCACGCTCTAAGTCCTCCCCTCTCAAGCACGCTCTAAGTCCCTCCCCTCTCAAGCACGCTCTAAGTCCCTCCCCTCTCAAGCACGCTCTAAGTCCCTCCCTCTCAAGCACGCTCTAAGTCCCTCCCCTCTCAAGCACTCTAAGCCTCCCTCTCACTCAGCACGCTAAGTCCCTCCCCTCTCAAGCACGCTCTAATCCCTCCCCTCTCAAGCACGCTCTAATTCCCCCTCTCAAGCACGCTCTAAGTCCCTCCCCTCTCAAGCATGCTCTATGTCCCTCCTCTCTGAAGCACGCTCTAAGTCCCTCCCCTCTCAAGCACGCTCTAAGTCCCTCCCCTCTCAAGCACGCTCTAAGTCCCTCCTCTCTCTCGTGCACGCGCTAGCTGCCAGAGCATGTGAGAAAGCGAGAAGCATGGCTGCGAGTGGGAGTGCAGCTGCGCCTCGGCTTGTTGACAAAAAAGACGCCAGAAGCGAAAAACAAAAAAGTTGTTTATTGATGATGCTTAAATTGTATTTAATACAAATTATAGTCATTTATTTTATTTATTGTTCTCATTGTTTAAAAGTTTGTGTTATGGTTATGGTGTGAAATAAGGCACAATAATTACATTTAAGACCGTTTCCCTTTTTTTAAGAAAAGTATCGAAAAATAATCGGAATCGCAATTCTTGACTTGGTATCGGTATCGAAACCAAAATGTTGGTATCGTGACAACACTAGTTCCGACAGCATGTATACAGTTCTCCGTTTGAAAGACTGTTTCTACATTTGTTTTGATAATTTTCTGACCAAGCGTATTTGAAGCTAATGGACTTCAGGATTCTTGCCGTTCTGAATGTGTCTCCTTGGCACTTACTCTACAGCATTTCGCATGAGATAGATAGACAGATACTTTCATTCATCCCACATTGGAGAACTCTTCAGCTAAATGTAATTCTGAGAAAGAGACTGTTTACCTTTAACCCCATTCACCGTCACAGCCAGTGGTATTAGTGGTAACTGAGTAGATTTACTCAAGTACTGTCCTCGAGTACAATTTTGAGGGACTTTACTTGATTATTTCCATTTTTGTATAATTTGTGCTTCAACTCCACATAATTTCAGAGGTAAACACAACAGTGTACTTCTACTCCACTACATGTATTTAATACCTCTAGTTACTTCACAGATGTGGATGAATGATGGTAAATATAATCAAGTGTTGAATCAGACTTTAGTTCCACCTGGAGTAAATCCACCAGCTACCCTGCAGTATACAAAGTACTTCAAACTAGCTGCACCTTTACCAGCTTTGAGAACACTTTCATGATCAATCATTATAAAACATATCATATATATTATTCTGAAATGGACCAATCTGCACAACGACTGCTTTTACTGTCTTTCACTATATGTAGATGAGAATACTTTTACTTGAACATTTTGAATGCAGGACTTTTACTTTTTCCTACACTCTGGTACTTCTACTTTTACTCAAGAACCAGATCTGAGTACTTCCTCCTCTGAGTGTTATTCAGCCATCCCATTGTTTTGGTTATTGTCTCCTCTCAACTCACACCAGACATCGGCGGACCTGTGTCGGGCGATGAAGCACGCGTCGTCCCCCATAACACATCCCTTTCTTCAGGATGCCTTTTCCGAAAGTCCCTTCCCCGAAAGCCGCGCTCGCCGTCACCAGGCTGTAGTCGCGGCCGTCAGTCTGAGAGAGTCCGCCGATGACAGCTCTGGCTAGCAGTCTACCGTACGTAGGACAAGCACGGACAACATCACCCACCAACCCGGGCTCCCACGTCCAAACCCGGCCAGATGAGCAGAGGGAAGCTGCTTGGCTTAGCGGCTAACGAGTGGCTAACCAAACCGCCGAAACAACAGGCTAGCGGAGGGAACCTGCTTAGCTTATCGGCTAAACGTGCTAACAATGCTAACCAACCGCCGACAACAAAAACAACCGCTGTCAAGTAACGTCAACGGTTCTTTGAGCTTTTTGTTCTGTTGCGTGATATCCAAGGGGAGAACAATCACATTAAAACAGTCGCCTCTTCCGCTCCAGAAGACCCGTAAGTGTTGCTTCTTCTTCGCAGCCATAGTGGCCAATTAAGCCGTCCAGACACACTATAACACCAAAGTGATGTGTGTGTGTCTGCTTCACACACACTCCGAGCTGCTAGCGAGGTCTTGTGGACTGCTCTGACGTCAGACCCCATTACACAATCTGCGTTTCCTTATAAGGAAGTGCGGAAACCTCCTACTTTAATAAATAAATGCTATCTTTTGAAACAAATGGATCCAAATTCCAAGCGTATGACGTCAAACAGCCAATAAAAAAAATACATGAAATAAATTAATATATACAAAAAATACATTAATAAAATAAAAATAAATATGTTGTTATTAAAACTTTTTTTGGTGTAATGTCATTTTTAATTATGCAATTGTATTTGTTTACATGCACTTCACACTCCTATTAACACATGTCATCTTTTTATTGTAAAACTTTCTTTGATATGTTATGAAACCATGTCTTGTTCCTAAAATGTTTTACATTTTAATAGAAATGTTACAAAATTCCTACTTTTTATGTTTTTATTGTATTTTTGTTTATAAACCTTTTTTTTCCATCATACATTAGGAATTTAAAACACAGTGTTCACCCACATTTATCTGACAGCTTTAGATACTTAAAGAAAATTAATCAGTGAAAAGCAGTAATTTCCTAAAAACTATTACATTCATGCAGCACTTTTTATGCATTATAGTGAGACTGGCAGAGTAAGGTCTGTCTCCCCCCTTGTGGGGTGTTGCCTGAGGGCTCTTATGCAATGAATAGCTGTAGCTGAGCTTTTGTATTGTGAATATGATAACAAAAAAACAGTATATATTGGGAAACAAATGACAATCAGACACCAGTTCCTCCCCCTAAAATACACTCAAAGTTTATTAGAAAGATTTAGACATTACATGAGTGCTTCTTTATTAATTTTATTTAGCACAAGACTTGTTTAAAAATGTGGTGAAGCAGTGTAACTCAGTATCATACGCCACTGACCGCCAACAAACTGTAAATAAAGTAGAACATAAGTAAACAGGTGTTTGTGACTCGTCCCCCCTCCTTCTAGGTTTTACAGCCATTGATACCCTTTACCGACAGTGAGAGAAAAGAGATGACAAATCAACGAGACAGGAACGAAACTGGAGAAATTGTGCACAGCTTCAAAACAAGGCATTCCTGTGCATAAGTAGCCGTATTGTTAACGTTATATTCCTGATCCAACAGTCATATGTGGCAAAGACTAGCTGCAAAATGGAGTGCAAAACACCTGAGGTTCTTCATGGTGACATATCAATTTACCCCCGTGAACAAAACAACAAAACACTTTGCTTTCATCGGGTAGGAGTGAACATCTTTTCAGTATTGGCGGCCTGAAGGATAGCCACTCCTTCAGAAGCAGAGGACGAAAGCAGGACAGAGGAGTGAAGCTCAGGACATTTTAAATTCCTCACTTCCCCCCTAAAACACTCATTTCTTGGCGGTCTTGGTGACCATGTTGCGGGGGGGAGTCACGGGACGGCTGCCGTTGGGCTTCTTCTTCTCAGCTGGTTTCAAAATCTATAGAAAATGGAGATGAAAACACTGTTAGAGAGTAGGTCTGAACGATTAATCCGTTCTTCTTGTGTGTCAGTCACCAATCAGAAGTGCTGTGCCCCACATGCACCAGCCATTGTTAACCAATCAGAAGTGGCCCATGATAGAAGGTGATAGACAGATTGATCCAATCACCTGCCAAGTATTTTTGAAAGTGCCCGCCCTTTCCAAATGGCTTCCAATGGAGCTCTAGATGGTTTCTGAGTCAGGTTAGTAATGCTCCATCACATGTTTCTATTACAAGGTGAATCTTAAACTGAAGCTTGACTTTAAAGCAACCCAACGGAAGCTTCATGTAAGTTTAGTTATTTCACTTCGGGCTGCGTGGGTGCTAGAGACGGGAGCACGTTGATGCGACCTTCCTAGCCGGAGATATGGCCGCATTTTACAATAAACTTCCGTTGGGTCGCTTAAAAACAAATATCGCAAATCGAATCACAGTCGCAATATCGTTTTTCTCATACTGATATTCTGAACAATCTGTGCCGTTGTATTTTCTGTAAAGTGTCTCTACTGTAGGCTATTTTTATTATATGTACAGCACTTTGGCGCGACCAAAAATCGTTTATAAATGTGCTATATAAATAAAACTTGATTTGATATCCGTCAGAAAAATCGCAATTAGATTATTTCCCTAAATCGTGCATCCCTATTAGAGAGGAATCCTTTCTTTTGCAGGTGACCCAGTTTTTACCCTGCACAGTTTGAGGTTCATATAGCGCTTTCCCCCGAACTAGGCCGATGGGGGGGAGATTTGGTTTCACACCAAAAAGGATCTGGAACTAGTCCCTAGTTCGCGCAAACCTTTTCACCCCAGATCGTCCCTGCTAGAGAGGTGGTACTTTCCTGAGGAGGAAATGGTTCGTGGGTGTGTCGGCCACGCTAAACATTTCTGATTGGCTGGATTGCAAACCACGCACCGTAAAACTCCGAAAAGTTTTGTGAAGCCGCCATTTTATTTGCTTGCATTAGCATTATTAGCATTAGCCCAGCGCACGAACGGAGAGAGACTAACTTATGGCAACACAAGAAAACATGGGAGCGGTGGAAACCCAAGCTGTATAACATGCGCACAAAAACCACAACTTCAGTCAACTCCATCATGTCTGAGGAAGATGAACAGACGCCTCTTGTACAGCGGGCGGCAGTATATGCCGTGAAGTTGTTTGCGGCCTGCCAGTAAACCCAAAGCAGAAGAAGAAGAAGTGAAGTCAGCGGCTTCATTTGCCTAATCCTCCCTCAGGGACTTATTCCGGTGAGAACGCGATCTACTAGGACAGTTCGAGGGACTAAAGAGTTCGGGGGGAACAAGTACCGGCTAAGTACTTGGTGTGAAAGTGGCTATAGAGAACATTTTTCATTATTTTCTTTAATATTTATATAATAATAATAAATAATACATTTTATTTCAAAGCGCTTTTCCAGGTGCTCAAAGACGCTTTACAGTGGTTTGATAAAACATGATAAAATAGAATAAAGAATAGAAATAAAGGAGACTACAATGAGGTAGCTTTTATTAAAGTTCTAACTGCAGTGACAGATGAACTGACGTCTCTTAATGTGCGTCTAAAATGTGGCTTTATTTCTACATTTTTTGATGGTTTTATATCCTTTAATACCCTCCACCGACAGTGAGACAAAAGACAAATCAATAAGAAATTAAATTAAGAGATTCAAAGAAACCATTTCGGTTTCTCACTATTTTCAATTCATAAAAACTAATAAATGTAATGTTAAATTGTTAAAACAAGACATTGAAGTATTTTTTAAATGAATGTTCTACCTGTAGTCACAATCATCTGATATTTTGTCTCCTAATTTTGCGTCTTTATTTAATTTCTTTGATCAATTCGGACATTCTTCTAATAAATCCCGGTTTTAGGACAAAACTCTGCAGTATTACTAATGTGTGATTTTCATTTTTATATTTAATAAGTTAGCTTGCTCTTATTATTTCTTCCTTGGGACTCAAAAGGATTTCTGATCTAGCAGAAGTCTGAAAGATGCATTTAGGTTGAAGTGAATACACTTTGCTATCCCTTTATTTTAACACTCTTATGGCGCATTTCCACTGCAGCGGGTAGCCCCGTTTAAGCGTCCTTAACCGTCCTCAAGCGGCCAGGCCAGTTTTTGGTGGCGTTTCCATATAGCCTAGTACCGGCCAGCGGGTACTTTTTCCCTCTTTTTCCGGCCTCATAAAATCGTGGTTCCCTCAGACCAGGGACAGGGCTGAACTAGTGACGTCAACACTCTCGACTGCTGATTGGTCAGAGAGAATCGTCACAAGATCGTGCGCGAGTTCATCCCTAGCGTCGCATATATATCTAGAAGCAAGCTTGCAGCATTTTTATAAACAGCATTTTGTAAACGGATGAGCTACAAAAATGGCTACGTCTAATAAGAAAAGCACACCGTGGTCGACCGAGGAGGTGACGACGTTCCTACATCTCATTGGGGATGATCAAATCCAGCGGGAGCTCGACGGAACAACTCGAAATGTGAAAGTGTTCCAGGATGTCTCTGCACAGATGCCCCGCCTACACTGCGTTGCTACCCCAGGTCCTAAACTGTAATGGAAATGCACCACGGCCTCGGACGGCCAGCGAGGCAGCCCGAGGCCTGAGCGAGGACGCTTAAACGGGACTACCCCGCTGCAGTGGAAATGTGCCATTAACCTATAACCTTCCAATGTGTTGTATCGCTAGCCAATAGAGCGGAGCAGGGATGACGTATTTACCGGGAAGTAAACTGCTGGTTCCCTCGACAAAAAAGCAACGGGATTTCTCCATAGGATTTGGAAAATAGCTCGAAATAAGGTCAGTGGAAAACGAACCCGTTTGATAAATGCACGTTTTGTTCAGCCGGATAATCTCCACACGTCTACCCTACTTTTATTATTTTAGAATCATAAATCTAATGGCCAGAAGCAAAATGCTAACGTCATGCTATAAAGGAACTACAGCAGCACGACTTCAACGCCAACTTAAGATCCATATTCAAACACACAGATTGTAAATGGTACGAGTTGAAGCGTTTGTTTGAACAGTTTGCAGGAGGCAGGGACTTGCTTTCAAGCAGAACAGAAACTAACTTAGAGGAGTGTTTACGTGTTCGGCGTAATGACGTACAACGGCCTCCACAACTTCTGTAGTTCAATTCAGCCACTTGGTATCCATTAATTCAGCCATCGTTTTTCAGACACGTGAACTCTTCAGAAATCACCAGTGGGGTCACTGATGATGGATTTAATGTCGTAGAACAAAACGTGATCTGTCTCTTCAATGTGTCTCAACCACAGACCTTATTCCAGCTGTTTTCCAAAATCCTATGGAGAGATCCCATTGGCTCAGAGACGAGGGAACAGGAAGTGGAGAAACGCTGACTCGCTTCAGGGTGTTAGGACTCGTCACTGCACCGCTCTATTCAAGCTTCTTTATTTGTCAAACGAACATAGCTACAGTGTAGTTATGTCGAGGAAAATCTTGTGTCACAGGCTTCTCCAACAGTGCAACACAAAACACAGATAAACAGAAAAATATAGTGCGGAAAAAACTCTATTGGAGCGCGAGTGTCACATAGTGATGTCACCGCGTTCAGGAGGTAAACAAAGCTCACCTGAAAGGAGCACATGAGCGTCTCGTCCACACTCATCATGGCTCCAGCGTTATCGAACTCTCCGCAGTAGTTTGGCGCCGAGAACAAAGTGACCAGCTGACGCTTCGCAAAGAACTCGTAGCCGTCCTCCACGACCTGCGAAAGACAGGAGGTTTCAAACGGGTCGTTGAAAAGACATTTTGTTATTGAGCGTCAGGAGAAGCCTCGAGGTCCGGGTCACAAGATCGACACAATTAGAACATTTTACCTGCATCACAAATGTAATCATGTGTACTTTTCAGATGTTCCTCCGGCTCCGTCTTCAGGCGTCACCATTTTGTTCAAATAACACTAAATACTTCTGTTGAACTGAAGGCAGCTACTAGACTCATGCAAGAAGTCACAAGGTTTATTGATATGCTATATTTAATAAATATATTGTCCTTCATGTTTGTATTTTGGAGTATTTGTTCATAAATCTTAATCCACTGATTGAATTCGTTTTTCTAATTACTCTGTTGTTGCATTTTATTTCTTATTTTATTAAATGCTTCTTATCTTATAAATAAACACTGTTTTTCAGGGTAATTATTCTTCTTAAATATATATATTTTTTAATTCTTATGTTATGTAATTTACTTTTCTATTTAAGTTTAATTTTCATTAAGCTTATTGTACTATTTCCTTTTAATCTAAGATGCTTTATTTTACTAAATGCATGTTATTATATATACACTATTTTGAACTGGTTTTAATATTACTTTAGACACTATTTTATTTCTGTTATTGTATTTATTACCTTAATTCTCTTTTATATTTTAATCATCTATCTTATTATATAACTGTTATTGATTTTCTACTTATTTTATAAAATCAATAATATCAGTAACTATCTTTTATAGCTTATACTATTCTATTATATATGTTGTACTTTACTAAATACATCTAACGCTTTTTTATTTTGCACTGGTGTTAGCGTTACTTTTTAAACACTGTCATAATATATATTTTTAATTCTAATTTCGTTAACTAAAAGTATTTCACTTGTATTGCTGATGTAGCGTTTGCCACTGGTGTTAGCACTACTTCTTATATGCTATTCCATGTTGCCCTAATGTTAGAATGAGTTCTTATACGCCTTATATGTATATCTCTACTGGTTGTAGTTTCTGAGCAGCCTCCGTCACAAGGTTTTCCTGCCGCAGTAATAAAGTTATTTCTTATCTTATCTCTGTGAGGTCAGAGGGGGTCAAGTGACCTCCTCTGACCTCACAGCTGTGCCAGTTCTCTGCTCTGTTTGATGTTCAGAGACCCAACCACGTACATGCCACACACACACGGCGCCACACACACACGGAGACAGAGACACACACTTTGTTTGGTGTTATTGTGGGAGAATGCCTTATTAGGCCCATATTAAGACCAAAACTCATGTGCAACAACTTCCTTATTTACAATAAATAAGCACTCCGAGGGTTATTGAGGAAAAACTCTTAACTAGTACTAGAATATGGTCATGTCGAACAAGGCATTAATAAGTGTTTTATAAGGGCTAATAAAGAGCCAATATACTGCTAATATGCATGCTAATTAACAACTAGCTGATGGTGAATATGTGTACCTTACCACATATTTTTATATATATATTTGTATTTTTGTATTCGGGATTGTGTGAAACGGTATTTGGTCTCTCGGTCTGTCCACACAAACTGAAGGATTGACGATTAAGTTGACTTTGACTCTGATGTTACCTGATGCGCGCGGCAGATGAGATCCAGGTCGTGCTTGTGCAGGAACTTGGCCACCACCTCTGATCCGAAGGTGAAGGAGACGCCCCGGTCGTTCTCCCCCCAGCCCAGAACATCTTTATCGGGGTCGGACCACAGCAGGTCGCACAGCAGACCCTGGTCCGGCACGTCCGTCGGGCGCATGATGCGTCGGATCTGCTCCATGGACTGCAGGTCAGGTGACAGGCCTACACGCAGCAGGAGGAAGGGACAGATACACACAGCGGTCAATAACCATCACATGGGAGAGGCCTACGTCAGGGGAGACACTGTAATGGATTGATCGTGTTTGTACGAGTGTTTTTCAGATGTGATGGGGCTTTAAAGGGTCACATAGCATGCAAATCCACTTCTCCATGTCCTCTTCTACATCAACATGTGTCCCCCTCTTCTCCATGTCTCTTCTACATCAACATGTGTCCCCTCTTCTTCATGTCTCTTCTACATCAACATGTGTCCCCTCTTCTTCATGTCTCTTCTACATCAACATGTGTCCCTCTTCTTCATGTCTCTTCTACATTCAACATGTGTCCCCTCTTCTTCATGTCTCCTCTACATCAACTTGTGTCCCCTCTTCTTCATGTCTCTTCTACATCAACATGTGTCCCCTCTTCTTCATGTCTCTTCTACAATCAACATGTGTCCCCTCTTCTTCATGTCTCTTCTACATCAAACAGGTGTCCCCTCTTCTTCATGTCTCTTCTACAATCAACATGTGTCCCCTCTTCTTCATGTCTCTTCTACATGAAACATGTGTCCCCTCTTCTTCATTCTCTTCTACATCAACATGTGTCCCCTCTTCTTCATGTCTCTTCTACATGAAACATGTGTCCCCTCTTCTTCATGTCTCTTCTACATCAACATGTGGTCCCTCTTCTTCATGTCTCTTCTACGCAACATGCGGCCCTCTTCTCCATGTTCTTCTACGTCAACATTGTGTCCCCCTCTTCTCCATGTCTCTTCTAACATCAAACATGTGTCCCCTCTTCTTCATGTCTCTTCTACGTCAACATGGTGTCCCCCTCTTCTTCATGTCTCTTCTACATCAACAGTGTCCCCTCTTCTCCATGTCTCTTCTACATCAACATGGTCCCCTCTTCTTCATGTCTCGTCTACAATCAACATGTGTCCCCCTCTTCTTCATGTCTCTTCTACATCAACATGTGTCCCCTCTTCTTCATGTCTCTTCTACATCAACATGTGTCCCCTCTTCTTCATGTCTCTTCTACATCAACATGTTCCCCTCTTCTTCATGTCTCTTCTACATCAACATGTGTCCCCTCTTCTTCATGTCTCTTCTACATCAACATGTGTCCCCTCTTCTTCATGTCTCTTCTACGTCAACATGTGTCCCCTCTCTTCATGTCTCTTCTACATCAACATGCGTCACCTTTTCTACATGCTCTTTACTTCACATGTGTTCCTCTCTTCTTATGTCTCTTCTACATCAACATGTTCCCCTCTTCTTCATGTCTCTTCTACATCAACAGTGTCCCCTCTTCTTCATGTCTCTTCTACGTCAACATGTGTCCCCTCTTCTTCATGTCTCTTCTACTCAACATGTGTCCCCTCTTCTTCATGTCTCTTCTACGTCAACATGTGTCCCTCTTCATGTCCTCTTCTCTCTCACAAACATGTGTCCCCTCTTCTTCATGTCTCTTCTACGTCACATGTGTCCCCTCTTCTTCATGTCTCTTCTACATCAACATGCGTCATCCTTTTCTTCATGTCTCTTCTACTACGTCAACATTGTCCCTCTTCTCCATGTCTCTTCTACGTCAACATGCGTCACCTTTCTTCATGTCTCTTCTACTCAAACATGCGTCACCTTTTCTTCATGTCTCTTCTACGTCAACATGCGTCCCCTCTTCTCCATGTCTCTTCTACATCAACATGTGTCCCCTCTTCTCCATGTCTCTTCTACATCAACATGTGTCCCCTCTTCTCCATGTCTCTTCTACGTCAACATGTGTCCCCTCTTCTTCATGTCTCTTCTACGTCAACATGTGTCCCCTCTTCTTCATGTCTCTTCTACATCAACATGCGTCCCCTCTTCTTCATGTCTCTTCTACGTCAACATGCGTCCCCTCTTCTCCATGTCTCTTCTACATCAACATGTGTCCCCTCTTCTCCATGTCTCTTCTACATCAACATGTGTCCCCTCTTCTTCACGTCTCTTCTACGTCAACATGTGTCCCCTCTTCTTCACGTCTCTTCTACGTCAACATGCGTCCCCTCTTCTTCACGTCTCTTCTACGTCAACATGCGTCCCCTCTTCTCCATGTCTCTTCTACATCAACATGTGTCCCCTCTTCTTCATGTCTCTTCTACATCAACATGTGTCCCCTCTTCTTCATGTCTCTTCTACATCAACATGTGTCCCCTCTTCTTCATGTCTCTTCTACATCAACATGTATCCCCTCTTCTTCATGTCTCTTCTTCATCAACATGTGTCCCCTCTTCTTCATGTCTCTTCTACATCAACATGTGTCCCCTCTTCTTCATGTCTCTTCTTCATCAACATGTGTCCCCTCTTCTTCATGTCTCTTCTACATCAACATGTGTCCCCTCTTCTTCATGTCTCTTCTACATCAACATGTATCCCCTCTTCTTCATGTCTCTTCTTCATCAACATGTGTCCCCTCTTCTTCATGTCTCTTCTACATCAACATGTGTCCCCTCTTCTTCATGTCTCTTCTTCATCAACATGTGTCCCCTCTTCTTCATGTCTCTTCTACGTCAACATGTGTCCCCTCTTCTCCATGTCTCTTCTACGTCAACATGTGTCCCCTCTGTGTAAAGAGACTCTGAAAGTTTCAGGAACAAAGATTCTCTCTTTGTCCTGATCCATTAGGCGCTTTCACACCGGAGTACTTTAACCCGTACTTTTCCCGTTTAGTTCCATTAGTGCCTGGAATTTTGCGTTCACACCAAAAAGAGAACTTAGTTCAGAGAACTTTTACCCCCATTTGTAGTGCCTGCTAGAGAGGTGGTACTTTCCTGGGGAGAAAAAAGTACCAATTTCTGATTGGCTGGGCGAATTGCAAACCACGCCCCGTAAAACTCAGAAAAGTTTTGTATTTGCTGGCATTCCCTTGTCTTTCACCTGCAAACTGAATCTAACTACAGGTACACATAAATAACCTGAACCTGAAACTGCAGACACAGTCTCGAGGACAAACATGAGGGGCAAAGGTGCTTTGGAGTCCTAAAACCTGGAAATGAGTTTTCCTTGTCTTGAAGTTAATGAGTTTTTGATTGTAAGCCTGAAATAAAGTGGGGTTAAAACAGGCTGAAGATATTTAATTTCTATATATAAATATGTCAGTAAATAGGCCACTGGTGAATGTAAAAACAGCGGTTGCCTAATGGGACGACTAAACATAACCACTCCCAACATTAGCCACCTTTAGCTTAGCGGTGGTGACCTGAAGTCATGTGACCGTGCTGTAGTTCCTTTATAGCCCAACATTAGCCACCTTTAGCTTAGCGGTGGTGACCTGAAGTCATGTGACCGTGCTGTAGTTCCTTTATAGCCCAACATTAGCCACCTTTAGCTTAGCGGTGGTGACGTGAAGTCATGTGACCATGCTGTAGTTCCTTTATAGCCCAACATTAGCTTAGCGGTGGTGACGTGAAGTCATGTGACCGTGCTGTAGTTCCTTTATAGCCCAACATTAGCCACCTTTAGCTTAGCGGCGGTGACCTGAAGTCATGTGACCGTGCTGTAGTTCCTTTATAGCCCAACATTAGCCTCCTTTAGCTTAGCGGCGGTGACCTGAAGTCATGTGACCGTGCTGTAGTTCCTTTATAGCCCAACATTAGCCACCTTTAGCTTAGCGGTGGTAACGTGAAGTCATGTGACCGTGCTGTAGTTCCTTTATAGCCCAACATTAGCCACCTTTAGCTTAGCGGCGGTGACCTGAAGTCATGTGACCGTGCTGTAGTTCCTTTACAGCCCAACATTAGCCTCCTTTAGCTTAGCGGTGGTGACGTGAAGTCATGTGACCGTGCTGTAGTTCCTTTATAGCCCAACATTAGCCACCTTTAGCTTAGCGGTGGTGACGTGAAGTCATGTGACCGTGTTTGTAGTTCTTTTATAGCCCAACATTAGCCACCTTTAGCTTAGCGGTGGTGACGTGAAGTCATGTGACCGTGCTGTAGTTCCTTTATAGCCCAACATTAGCCACCTTTAGCTTAGCGGGGGTGACCTGAAGTCATGCGACCGTGCTGTAGTTCCTTTATAGCCCAACATTAGCCACCTTTAGCTTAGCGGTGGTGACGTGAAGTCATGTGACCGTGCTGTAGTTCCTTTACAGCCCAACATTAGCCTCCTTTAGCTTAGCGGTGGTGACGTGAAGTCATGTGACCGTGCTGTAGTTCCTTTATAGCCCAACATTAGCCACCTTTAGCTTAGCGGTGGTGACGTGAAGTCATGTGACCGTGTTGTAGTTCTTTTATAGCCCAACATTAGCCACCTTTAGCTTAGCGGTGGTGACGTGAAGTCATGTGACCGTGCTGTAGTTCCTTTATAGCCCAACATTAGCCACCTTTAGCTTAGAGGGGGGGCCCTGAAGTCATGCGACCGTGCTGTAGTTCCTTGTGTAAAAGCAATATCCATTAAAAATTGCTAGAGCTTAAATATTGATTTTACTTCCAATAAAAACTCAAACCCACCTCCGTGGCAGCAGAAGATCTTCTCATCAACAATGGCGGAAATGGGGAGGCAGTTAAAACAATCTGTGAAGGTCTTCCAGAGCTTGATGTTGTACCTTCTTTTACCTAAAGAGCAAGAAGAAAACATAAATGAATACAACATTATATAAAAATACATTTCCAAGTGTAAACCTTAGAGATCTTCTTAGAAGCCTAGCGATAACATTTAAAACGTCTACATGCAAAACATCAATTTCACTTTATCATGAAGGTTTTTTACATTATTTTGTGTATTCAATTGTTCTGTTCCGTGTATTTTTTCCTTTCTTTTCACGAGCTGCGATAGTCTAGCTAACAATCAACAAACACCTCTGCATGCTGCATCTTATTTCTGTTCATGGTTGTGTACTTATGTGTTTGCCTACGTGTTACTTATCATGCTGTTCATCACCGTCACAGTGTAAGTGTCCCTGCTGTGGGATGAATAAGGGACTTCTGATTCGAAGCAGATTTTAAAGTGTACTTTAGCCACAGTATGAAATACAAGAGACAAAACACAGAAATTATATACAATTAGAACTACTACAATCTGCTTCAGAAATTAAAGCGGGAGAAAGGGCAACAATTATCCAAGAAACCCCCAAATGCCCTTAAAACATTGATAGAAAAGGCACAAAAAGGCAAGTATCTTAATCCTTCATCAGGCCATTTCACGCTACAAAAAAGCACATTTATCCTAAAGAAAATGTTTAAATGCAAGTATTTTAAACAGTATAAATATGTTGACTACAAAATACAATGCCAACTTCCTCCGAGGAGACTCACACTCGTCATAGAAGCCGTATATTCTGTTGATTGAAGCACACTCGTGGTTCCCCCTCAGCAGGAAGAAGTTCTCGGGGTATTTGATTTTGTAGGCCAGCAGCAGGCAGATGGTCTCCAGAGACTGCTTCCCCCGGTCCACGTAGTCCCCCAGGAACAGGTAGTTGCTCTCGGGGGGGAAGCCGCCGTACTCAAACAGCCGTAGCAGGTCGTAGTACTGCCCGTGGATATCGCCTGAGGGATAAAAGGGAATTAAGGCCCCATTTAGAGTCACTGGGTGTTTCTCAATGTTGAGGAAGGATCCTCCTGAGCCACGATTTCAAGGATGCTATGTCATCGAGTCCCGCCGAAGGACTGTTCCAATGTCCAGGATGCTTGGAATTCTACCGAGGACTGAATCCTTTGTTGCGGGAAATTTCGAGGCTGCACCGGTGACGCGGTCTTAAAATCCCCACAATGCTTTGCGCACGGACCTATTTCCAAAATCTTTGGCGGAATCGGGGCTTCTCATATGACGCACACCTGCACACTTGCTAGCCTGTTCCATTCTTCGTTCTCCGAATGAAATGAAGGATTCTTGCCTAGCCTCTGAAAGACCTGACTCGGAGGGACGAAGGGGGGCGTCCGGTAGGGCTGCACGGTATTGAAAAAAACTGACATCGCGATTTCCTCCCCCCCTGCGGTATATATTGCGGTTTTTTAACCTGTTAAACCCCAAAGTCCCGGCGGGTACGTTACTTTTTTTTTTCACGACAGTGTCTCAGGGGATCGTAATATTTAAGAACCTATTAATGTGTTTAAGGGAAATAATCTCAGCTAACTGACGATACAAACCATTTTTACCAAAACAAAAACACAAGTCTCATAAGAAGCATCTAAATGACCCCTGAGCGAAAAATGCTAACGCACTTTGGCACAGAACTCAAGATAAAAGTACCCTTATTATTACTTATCGTAGCTGTACTTACAAGATATCCGATTAAAGCTGAGGTTCCACAGATTATTTAGGTATATAGTATCATCACTGAGTCATCCGAACTCGTGACAGGGGAAGCAAACACAGACATCACAACACATACCTTTACGTAGCTTCTAGGGGAGATGTCTCACCGTAGCTGTCAATCTGATCAAAAGACGTGTTCAATGGCATTAAAACGAGAAAGAAAAAACGCGGCTGAATCGGTTAATCCATAGGTTTTTAACGTCTGTATAAAAAAATGATTTAATTTATAATCCATAATTCAATTTTTATGTAAATATCGCAGAGCAAAAGTTAGCTGCTAATGGTAGCCACCAGCAGTGGCGTTTTCTCCCGGAGGCCAAGGGAAGCCAGGCTTCCCCTGTTTTTTCGGATTGTAGTTATAATTTAAATAAATAAATAAAAACACTTTGTTTTGTTTCGATAATTCTCCTTTGCTGTGTGTTGCTGCCGGCCCGGCTCTCCCCCATTCTCATTGAGTATTTTACAAAGAGTGAAACAAACAGCGCCCCTCTAGATGTTATGGTGAAACAGTAGATTGCACTCACTGTTGCGAGAGGAGGCCAGCCGAATCTAGCTTCCCTTGGTGAAAAAAAATGGAGGGATTGACCAATCAGATGAGGCCCACGTGATGCCCCTGCCAACCTGTGATTGGTCAGGGCCATGCCAAGGGAAGCTAGCCGCCTCTTGCTTCCCTTCAGAGGCGGCTGGCGGCTGGCGATTTGATTGGACACTGCCATCCAATCAAATCACATCAACATCAGTTTTAATACTGTAACTGTCATCACCGCCGTTAGAAATTATCAAGCAAATGAAGCATTATGGAGGGTGGAGATTTGGCGTACTTAATCAAACATAACTTTACTAAACTTCCGCTACAGCAGCAACTAAAAATTAAATCAGATGACAGGCAAATGCCCGCACTCGAGCTGTGTGTACGCAGAGGAAAAAGGGAGAGAATCGGACGTTCAATGAGGACAATTATGTCCGCACGGAGTGGCTAACTGGAAGCGCTAAACTTCAGCGTCTAATTTGCTGGACATGTCTTCTTTTTGACAAGGATTCGTGCTCCCTGAACAATCCTTGGGCAACTTCAGGATTCATCGACCTTGCCAACCTGTCACGGGCAATTGAGAGGCACGGTAAATCCAAAAATCACATAGATTGTGTGATTGTCTGCATACATTAATAAGTAAAATGCTTAAATTAATAAGGAGAGAGTTTCAGCTGGAGAGTGCGTGCGGACCTGTCGGTTAGATAACAGGCGTGTGCAAGTCCTGCATCTGTGTGATACAAATGTGTGTCAAATGATACCGGGCGCTGTAATCACTCATCTGGTTACGTTATTGACCACCCCCCGACCCAAAAAATGGGCTTCCCCTACATTTTTCCCCACGCCACGCTACTGGCCACCAGAGTGGCTGCTGCTTCCGGTCTTGGCTATGCGGAAGTCCAGCGCAGTCTAACACACACACACGAACAAATAAGGAGTGAGAGTGACGCGTAGCCAAAACCGGAAGCTGCATACACTCTGGTGGCTACCATTAGCAGCTAACTGTTGTGCTCCAATTTGTACATAAAAATGGAATTATGGATTATAAACAATTGCTTCAAAGCCACATATACATTATCAACCTATGGATCAACCGATTCAGCCGTGTTTTTTCTTTCTCGTTTTAATGCCATTGAACACGTCTTTTGATCAGATTGACAGCTATGGTGAGACGATCTCCCGTAAAAGCTACGTAAAGGTACGTGTTGTGATGTCTGTGTTTGCTTCCCCTGTTGCGAGATCGGATCGCTTAGATACTATACTTAAATAATCTGTGGAGTCTCAGCTTTAATCGGATATATTGTATGTGCAGTTTCGCTAAGTAATAAGGGTATCTTTATTTTGAATTCTGTGCTAAAGTGCGTTAGCATTTTTTTTTTTAATGAATAAAACCGCACGTCCCTGCGGTGTGAATACCGCGCATGCGCATACCGCGGTTATCGCCATGGCACGGTATATCGTTCAGCCCTAGTGTCCGGTGCCTTGCTCAAGGGCACCACGGCAGGGCAGGAGGTGAACTGGGACCTCTCCAAGTAGCAGTCCACACTCCATATTTAGGTCTGTTCGGAGTCTTGAACCGGCGACCCTACGGCTCACAGTCCAAGCCCCTACTGACTGGGCCACTGCCGGACTGAATGGCAGTATAAACTACACAAGATAACTAATTACTGGAAATGTAATTTAACATCCTTTAATATGTAATTTAAATGTTGATTGTTAAAGCAACATAATGATTTTTGTAATCTACATATAAGCCTATGTTTGGCTTAGTAACAGTAACTGATTAGCTTCAAAGATAACACAAAATATAACGAAAAAAACAAACCTAAAAACATGAAAATATTAAGTTATAAAGCTGAAAAAAAAAAAAACAGTTTACAAAATATCTTATATCAAATGTAACAATAAGTTAGTTGCATGATATAAAAAGAGAGGAAGATGTTATTGTTATGCAAATAGTGCACAATACAATGACAGTTAACACTTTATATTATAAGGAATTCATTTGTAATTTAGTTACAGAGAGAGATTTGTATTACTATTATTTCGTGATAAATAGCGGCGTGTCTCACCACAGATCTTGAGCGGGGCCTCCAGCTCCAGCAGGATTGGCTGACTGAGGAAAATCTCCCGGGATTTCAGGCACAATCCACGGATCTCGTTCTCCTGCAGCTGCACATTCTTCCCCGGCTTCGCTCCTCTGACTGCACCAGCAACAAAACACACCCAAACACATCAGGTAAAGTGAGCACAAGATGCATAAAGACTGTATGCAAAGGACACAAGTGCACAGCAGCACAATGGTAGTGTATAGACTTTTTGCAATACTTTTTATTTTATTATATACGTTGCATTGTTGGAGGAGCTTAGGTCACAAGATTTTGATTGCCATTTCTCCACTGTATGTGCATATGACAATAAAACCTTTGAATCTTTGTGTATATTTGTTTGAAGCCTTGGTACACAGGCACCACTATTAAACTGTTCTATGTAACTGAAGAGTCCATTGACATGGCAATAAAGAACATGCCAGAAAGCATCCCCCAAGTCCCCTCAACAATGAGAATACACCAGATTCTCACAACCTCTCCTGGACAGATGTTGTACCGGATGTGAGCTGTATGTGCACTGTAGACAAGATTTACCATTGCACATGCTATAACACAAAGGCATTCAGCTTCAACAAACCAACGACCACACCAGCAATAGAAGAGATAACATGAGGTCCAGATGTTATACAAAAGTGGTGTGTAATAAAATATGACAGTGACTTCTATCCTGGCATCATCACTGCCATTGATGAGGTTCAAGTGCAAGTGAAATGCATGCACAGCGCTGGAGTAACAGGTTATTTTGGCCTGCAAGAGAAGACATGATCTGGTACCTATTTGAGGATGTCATTTGTTTCAACCGCCTCAGCCTGTGACCAGCCGTCATCATGAGATAAAAAAGAAGTTTGGGCCAAATTGGCAAAATAGAAGATGAAAAAATGTTTCCTCGTACTTGTCATTAGCTCCAATTGAAATAATGACATGCATGCAGTGTGTTTTGTTGGCTTTCAAAAACAAAATGAAATTGTATTGAACTGTTAAATTACTTAATTGAAAAAGTAATGTTAAGCTGACAATTAATCAATTATTAAATGAATTGTAGATTACCAATGTTATGTTGTAATAAATGTGTTTATTAAAAGGTCACATGTCATGGCCATTTCCACTGATCATAATTCCATTGTTGAGGTCTACTAGAATAGATTTATACTGTGCAATTTTCCAAACTCCCATTGTTTCGCATACAGCATCTCTGTAAACTACGTGTATTTACTCTCTCCACCAAACGGCTCGTTGCAGCTCTTGCCCCCCCCCCTCCCAGTGTGCTCCGATTGGTCGGGACCAGTCGGGACGTTGTGAATCGCGCTAAGCTCCGTGGAGGTGTGATTTCCTTGTTTAGCGATACACAGCGAAACACAGCCAAACTCACCCTGAGCACACACAAAGTCACAGCCGAAGTAAAAACAATAAGTGTGGCTTGATATTGAGTAAGAAAAAGGTTGATAAACGCTGTGAGAATGGGTCTGTAGAGAGAACGGGTCTGCAGAGAGAATGGGTCTGTAGAGAGAATGGGTCTGTAGAGAGAACGGGTCTGCAGAGAGAATGGGTCTGCGGAGAGAACGGGTCTGCAGAGAGAACGGGTCTGCAGAGAGAATGGGTCTGCAGAGAGAACGGGTCTGTAGAGAGAATGGGTCTGCAGAGAGAACGGGTCTGCAGAGAGAATGGGTCTGTAGAGAGAATGGGTCTGCAGAGAGAATGGGTCTGCGGAGAGAATGGGTCTGCAGAGAGAACGGGTCTGTAGAGAGAATGGGTCTGCAGAGAGAATGGGTCTGCAGAGAGAATGGGTCTGCAGAGAGAACGGGTCTGTAGAGAGAATGGGTCTGCAGAGAGAATGGGTCTGCAGAGAGAATGGGTCTGTAGAGAGAATGGGTCTGCAGAGAGAATGGGTCTGCGGAGAGAATGGGTCTGCGGAGAGAATGGGTCTGCAGAGAGAATGGGTCTGCAGAGAGAACGGGTCTGCAGAGAGAATGGGTCTGCAGAGAGAATGGGTCTGCAGAGAGAATGGGTCTGCAGAGAGAATGGGTCTGCAGAGAGAATTTCACCGCGATCCCAACTGTCTGTTATCAGCCTGCAGCCAGGGAGGAGAGATCAGCAGAGCTGCATGCTCCGAGTGTGAGGAAGTCCGTGGATTGGTCAATTTGGACCAATCAGCAGGGGCTTAACGTAACGGCTCCGCGGACGTAACGTAACGGCTCCACGGATTGGTCCATTTTGTTCCGGGTACGACATGGTATCATATGTCCCCGGAAGAATCAAATGGATGATGACGTTTCACCAACGAGGCGTTTTGGAGAGGTATTTTCTGTATTAGAGTTTACTCGCTACAGGGTGCACTTTGAGGGTTTTGACTCTGCACACCGTTTACATGCATAAAAACCTTCATAACACAAGGGGACGGGTAATAACCGGAAAAGCATGACATGTGACCTTTAAAACAATGCTTCGAGCAGTTATCAATACATTTCTATCAAATCTTATCGTGTGTCCTTAAATGATTATTACCACATCAGTCTAATATTGAACCATGATAATAATTTTAAAAAGGAAAACTTACCAAAACAAGATTTAAAAAATACAAACATACATTTTCTGAATCAATTCAATCTATTAAGTCAGTCCTGTCACAAACTGTCACGACAGGGTCAGTCCTGTCACACAGGAAATTATAATACAGAAATTGACTATTTATTTATTTTTTAAGTGAAATAACCTCTACAATTGTGAGCTTGGAGGTGGGGGGTCATATCCACATCAGCTGTTTAGAAAAAGAATTGGTGTAAAAGTATTTTCTTTACAACAATATGACTACCTGGTGATTATTCTTTCCTTACCGTCCACTACAGTTAACTGATAGGTTGCTAAGAATTCTTAAAAGGATTAAAAACACATTTTAGATACAATCAGGGACATGTGATCAATGGGAAAATGTTATTTGTATTAAAAAAATATATTAGGAAGCCATTCTACCGTACTCACATTTGTCTGTGACAGGGCCTGACATCTTAAGGGTGAAACTCATTTAAAAATAGATTTTATTCAATAATAAAAACATGCGGAGATGGGACAATATGTGTTCCTAACAGTTTAACATGTTCTCCATATGACCTGTTATTGAAATTGAAAAAAAAATAAAAATGTCTTCAGTATATTTAGATGTGGAAATATACGTTTCTGGTAGAATGACTCACCTGGCTGCTAAATCTCAGAACTGTTACAGGATGTGTATTTTGTAAAGTGTGTAATGTTTATTTTTCAAATGTTGTATCTTTAATATTTTTTAACGCATGCTTCTAAGGTAATATTAAGCTGTCTTTGGCTCTTTTTTGCTGAAACAAATGCAAAAAGGTATTCTGATATTTGTGTGTGATAAATACAGTGTGTGTTGGATGTTTTGTGCCCTTTCTGTACATTAAAGTCTTCAATCTGGATCCAAAAAAGGCTTGAAATGACAACAAACCCAAAAGAAAAAGGTGACTGTAGGTCATTCACAAGATGTTAAAAACAAGAAGTGCGCCGTTGGCTGAAGCAAATTTCCGTAGTGGCCAAACGGTGGTACTACAGCTGCAGTGACGTCATTTTGGCCCAAAAAGACTTTTCCCCATTGACTTATATTGGGAATAAAACGCCTGTAAATCCGCGGTTTTTTATTTTTTAGCTAAACAAACAACCCAGCACGAACACTTGTATATCCTTTATTTTAATCATTAGGGTTTAAAAGTTGTGAAATGAAGCTAAAAAGCTGAATCTAGAGATATGTTGTCTCTCCATCTCTCCTCTTCATTTGACAGCGAGAGCGGGAGATTGGAGGCGGGACTTAAGGGAAAACTCTAGTGCGCATGCTCTGTAAACAAAAGGACCCGGATGAGCAGAAATATAGGAATTTGCCTACATATACACAGTTAAAAAATATCACCAAAACAATAATACAAAAATTATTATAAGATATTAAATATATTTCTATGTATTGTTTTGTTTATCTTCTAGTGCTCATATGTATATATTAATAATCTGTATTTAATTACTTCTCAATCATGTGCAATGACTTATGCTATTGTGCATGGGATGACTAAAGTATATCTTATCTTAACATTAAGATAGAAAATAACTTGCATGAAATATAGATATGCTAAAAAAAAAAACGACCTAGAGACAGTATACCATTACAAAAAAAAGAAGAATATTTAAATATAATTATGTGCAGTATTGTTATGAAATAATGATCCGGGTACTATCTGAGTATACTGTCTATATATAGTAATACTAATATACTCTATTTTGGGCTTCATGCGCCACTGATTAACTCCCATAGGAATGAACGGTGTTTCTCTTCATACATCAGTGGTTATTGAGAGTGTAATTTAAGCAATTAAAAGGAAATACAGTTAAATAGTGCTAATAACTTAAAGCCGAATTACAGATACTTATAAAACACGTTTAAAAAACCCAAATTCTTAAAGTGTTTCTTGGGTTTTTTGACACAAAATACAATCAAATGAAACTGGCCCATTTCTCAGTGGAGTTCGGTTAAAATCCTACGGCTATATCAACCAAAACACGTTAACAAATTAAATGTTAATATGTTCTTACCTTCTAAAAGTCGCTGGATGATACTGTCGATGTTGAGTTTGTCCACATCAGCCATGGTAGATTTGGTGTTGAAATAAACCTGTGAAATCTAGGTTAGCACGTTTTGATGGATGTTAGCCTAGCATTAGCTACCTAGCTTCTCCGGCTAAAATGTACAGATGCTCTTCGGTGACCCTGTGTTGAATTTAGCTGCTTAAAGATAATTCCCACAATCTAATAAACTACTTAGACACCGCGATGAATTACAAAATCTGCATCCAATGGAGGGTTTTGATAAGAAAACAGAGATAAAAAAAAAAGAAGCCGCACTAGCTGTTAGCTAGCGATGGTGTCAGTGTTTTTCTCTGCCGCACCTCGCACTGCTCGCCAAGCCGCTTCAAGGAGGCTGAATCCGGGGAAACGACACGCTGCTGCCCCCTGATGGACCGGTGGAGAAGGGGACTTTAACCTACTTAGATATAGGCCTAGGAGATTAAATAACAAAACATCAAGTTGACAGAGAAGGGAAGGATGTAGAAACTCCTGTATTTCAAATTGTGCGAGTTCATTTTAATATACAGAATAAAATCGTGTTACGTACTTTGAGATGATTGGATAAAGTGTCCAAAGCCAACACATAGCAACACATCAAGCTGACAGAGAAAGAAATTAAAGCAGAATGTCCTGTATTATAAATTGTGTTAGTTCATTTGAATACAATCGTTTTTTTAGGTACTTTAAACTAATTCGATAAATTGTCCAAAGCCAAAAAATAGTAACACATCAAGCTGACGGAGGAAGACAATTATGCATTTAACGTACATTTTAAATACAGAATGAAATCGTGTTTTTCTTGAGAGTTTAGATTGAGAAAGGTACATTAAACTTCTTAGATAATAAGTGTACAAAGCCGAAACATAGCAACACGTCAAGCTGATAGAGAAATACAAATAAAACAGAACTTCCTGTATTACCAATTATGTGAGTGAATTTGTCTAAAATCGTATTTTTATGACTAAAACAATGGACTGGATGGAGAACATGGCTTTAAGCTACTTAAATAAAGTGTGAAAATAAAAGGAGAATAGCAACACTTCAAGCTGACAGAGAAAGAAGTTGAATGTGAGTATGTGTATATGTAAGTGCGTGTTCAGGTGTATACTATGTATAACAAGTAACAATGTAGTATATGTGTATGTTTGTATTATTTGGGACGGTGAGAAACAGTACTTTGACTAGATACACATCAAGTGGAGAGAGGATGAAAATTATACTTGTGCATTACCAATTGCGAGGCTTCATTTTTAAATACAGAATGAAATTGTGTCTTATTTTGAGAATTAGGATTGAGAATGTACTTCAAATGTCTTGGATAAAGTGTAGGACCAGTTGTGGACAAAGTATTAATATATTTAAATAACACACTTCCTTTTTGTGGTGTCAAACTTTTAATTTCACAAAATACACATCAAGAGATTGCAGTATTTATAGACACATACACCGACTATTATGACTACATTAAAATGTATCGATACCATAATGCAAAACACAATGTGATACAGTTTATTTGTATTTCTGCTCATTTTCTGCACGTTTGTTTTTAAATCAGAGGATCATTTATTCCTGGTCTTTCTCCTCTCCGTGCGTGATGATGTGCACGAGGTTCTTGTAGTCCAGGTTTCCTGCCACATCTGGAGGGAACGCTGTGAACATCTCTCCCAGCTGGGGACAAGGAGTTAACAAATATATGTCAATATTCAAAGAGAATAATGTCTTTAGTTGAAAGTAATAGTCTGAGGTGGAGCTCTGACCTCTTCAGGGGAGAATCTGTCCGCCTGCGTGGTCAACATCTGAGACACGCTGTGAACACAAGCAGCAGCAGTGAGGGAAACATTTATTCTTATATCTAGTATGTATAACACTGCATTGGCGTTACAAAAGTGTCTAATGTTTAAAGTATCCGATCTTTTAATTTTAGTTTAGTTTAAAGGGGTCCTATTCTCCTAATTCTCAGCTTAATATCAGTATATCTCTACTTTAAAGAGTCCTCTCCTGCTGATGTTCAGGTGTATATCAGTATGTAGTGTCTCTACTTTAAAGAGTCCTCTCCTGCTGATGTTCAGGTGTATATCAGTATATAGAGTCTCTACTTTAAAGAGTCCTCTCCTGCTGATGTTCAGGTGTATATCAGTATGTAGTGTCTCTACTTTAAAGAGTCCTCTCCTGCTGTTGTTCAGGTGTATATCAGTATGTAGTGTCTCTACTTTAAAGAGTCCTCTCCTGCTGATGTTCAGGTGTATATCAGTATGTAGTGTCTCTACTTTAAAGAGTCCTCTCCTGCTGATGTGCAGGTGTATATAAGTATGTAGTGTCTCTACTTTAAAGAGTCCTCTCCTGCTGATGTTCAGGTGTATATAAGTATGTAGTGTCTCTACTTTAAAGAGTCCTCTCCTGCTGATGTTCAGGTGTATATAAGTATGTAGTGTCTCTACTTTAAAGAGTCCTCTCCTGCTGATGTTCAGGTGTATATCAGTATGTAGTGTCTCTACTTTAAAGAGTCCTCTCCTGCTGATGTTCAGGTGTATATCAGTATGTAGTGTCTCTACTTTAAAGAGTCCTCTCCTGCTGATGTTCAGGTGTATATAAGTATGTAGTGTCTCTACTTTAAAGAGTCCTCTCCTGCTGATGTTCAGGTGTATATAAGTATGTAGTGTCTCTACTTTAAAGAGTCCTCTCCTGCTGATGTTCAGGTGTATATCAGTATGTAGTGTCTCTACTTTAAAGAGTCCTCTCCTGCTGATGTTCAGGTGTATATCAGTATGGAGTGTCTCTACTTTAAAGAGTCCTCTCCTGCTGATGTTCAGGTGTATATCAGTATGTAGTGTCTCTACTTTAAAGAGTCCTCTCCTGCTGATGTTCAGGTGTATATCAGTATGTAGTGTCTCTACTTTAAAGAGTCCTCTCCTGCTGTTGTTCAGGTGTATATCAGTATGTAGTGTCTCTACTTTAAAGAGTCCTCTCCTGCTGATGTTCAGGTGTATATCAGTATGTAGTGTCTCTACTTTAAAGAGTCCTCTCCTGCTGATGATCAGGTGTATATCAGTGTGTAGTGTCTCTACTTTAAAGAGTCCTCTCCTGCTGTTGTTCAGGTGTATATCAGTATGTAGTGTCTCTACTTTAAAGAGTCCTCTCTGCTGTTGTTCAGGTGTATATCAGTATGTAGTGTCTCTACTTTAAAGAGTCCTCTCCTGCTGTTGTTCAGGTGTATATCAGTATGTAGTGTCTCTACTTTAAAGAGTCCTCTCCTGCTGATGTTCAGGTGTATATCAGTATGTAGTGTCTCTACTTTAAAGAGTCCTCTCCTGCAGATGTTCAGGTGTATATCAGTATGTAGTGTCTCTACTTTAAAGAGTCCTCTCCTGCTGATGTCAGGTGTATATCAGTATGTAGTGTCTCTACTTTAAAGAGTCCTCTCCTGCTGATGTTCAGGTGTATATCAGTATGTAGTGTCTCTACTTTAAAGAGTCCTCTCCTGCAGATGTTCAGGTGTATATCAGTATGTAGTGTCTCTACTTTAAAGAGTCCTCTCCTGCTGATGTCAGGTGTATATCAGTATGTAGTGTCTCTACTTTAAAGAGTCCTCTCCTGCTGATGTTCAGGTGTATATCAGTATGTAGTGTCTCTACATGTCTCCATGCTTTAATGTTCACAAAGCTCTTTATTCTTCTCATACTGCCTTTGCTGCAGCACCTCTTTTCACCCTCTGTCTGAAACCAGAGCTGCTCTGATTGGTTAGCTGGCCGGCCCTGTTGTGATTGGTCAACCGCTTAGATATGTCCCGCCCCTTAGCCTGTCACGTACAATGTGTTGGAGCGCTCGCCAATAGAATCACGAGTTACATAGTGATGTCACTATATTCCGGAAGTAAACAAAGGAGTCCAATGAAGGCATTTCAGGTGGGAGGGGAGTGTGTGAGAGGGAAACACAGGGACCATATCCATGCACAAAAACCTATATGACACACTACAGGAAATGGAAAACAAAAAGCATCGGGCCTCTTTAAGTGAAAGTATTTGCATTATAATATATTTCAACAACAACAGAACTGGACTGTTATGTGTTGCTATGTTGTACTCACTAGTCTTTCTTCAGCGTTCCCTTCCCCTCAGGATCAAACACTTTGAAAGCGTTGAGGATCGTCTCCTCTGCGTCGGCACCTGAGGACAAACATTTTTCATATCTTGGTAGAGATTTGGATCTATTTGCGGTAATGTTGTGCCTCATAGTCATTGTTCAATCAACCAATCAATGTTTATTTATATAGCCCAATATCACAAATGTTACATTTGTCTCAGTGGACTTCACAGTTTGTACAGAATATCAGTATGACAATACGACACCCTCTGTCCTTAGACCCTCTGTCCTTAGACCCTCACATCGTACAAGGAACAACTTCCAGAGAAAACCCACAGTTTAAAGGGAACATGGGAGAAACCTCAGGGAGAGCAACAGAGGAGGGATCCCTCTCCCAGGACGGACAGACGTGCAATAGATGCCATGTGTAAATTGAAACGATAATACATTTGCAACATAGGTAGTCCAAATGTTTGGAAATGCATGTGTGTATAATAGGAAGGTGAATCCACGAGGATATCCATCCAGGACCTATGATCCAGGACCACAGCCACGACTCAAGATCCAGGGCTCGCGATGCAGGACACAGGACCGCAGGATCATCCATGACTCCATTGTTAGAATTTTTGTAGTTTTTTAGTGTCTCTTTTTACTAACTATGCCTGCTTCCGTTTAAAAATGTTTTCTTCCAGTAATTGCCCTGGTGTTGAAATATACAGCTGTCCTCACCTTTGAGTTTCTCTCCGAACATGGTGAGGAAGACGGTGAAGTTAATGGGCCCCGGGGCCTCCTTCAGCATCTCGTCTATCTCCTCCTGCTTGACATTTAAACGGCCTGCACACAAAGTGGAGGGAAAGATTTAGAGCTGCAGCTAAAGATTATTTTCATTATTGATCAATCTGACGGCTATCTTCTCCTCCTCTGATGAATCGTTTGCTCAATGAGATGTTATGGAGAAATGAAAAATGCTTTCAAATATTGCAGCTTGTTTTGTCAACAGTCCAGAAATATCCAGACAAATAGGAGAGACTCTTAAGAACCACATGAATTAGCATTTTAATTCTAATTGTTTTTCTCCACCAATGTGCTTCAGCTAACTTCCCAACTGAGCACTCTTTATTCTTCCTAAATGTGGTCATTGTTATTTCTTTGTTTAACACAATAAAGACTTTAACAAATGCACTCCCAAGCATTACATATTTTTTGTTTGTTAGGGTTGAGTGGGAGGTCGAAGTTGATTTAAGAAAGTAACTTCCATAAGGGGTC